GCATGTCACAGGGAGCGATTGAGTGGCCTTAGCATATCATTAGCATATTATGCTTTGATTGGTTGACTGGACACTTAGCATATTAGGCTTTTATTATATAGGACAGGAATTTGAATTAAAGTTGGATTGCTAATGGATTATTGTTGAATGATGCTGGATGTAAGACCTAATGATTCCTGGGTTCTTTGTCACATGCTGAGCTGTTCTTTTTTTTTTTTTTTTTTTTTTTTTTTTTTTTTAAATATATTTTATTGATTTTTGTACAGAGAGGAAGGGAGAGAGACAGAGAGCTAGAAACATCGATGAGAGAGAGACATCGATCAGTTGCCTCTTGCACACCCCCTACCGGGGATATGCCCGCAACCAAGGTACATGCCCTTGACCGGAATCGAACCCGGGTCCCCTCAGTCCCCAAGCCGACGCTCCATCCATTGAGCCAAACCGGTCCCGGCGCTGAGCTGTTCTTATCTCTTGAAAGTAAAATATTGTAAATCAGCATTTAATTTCTGAGAGCGCATTTCGTACCAAGAATATATCAAACTTGCACTCAGAAATCAATGAAAATAAGCTACAACTATTTGGTTACAAACACTAAAGTACCAGTAAAACCAAACATTATTAATGTTATATGTCACTTTGGGGTCTACTTTTCTGATCTGCTAGACTACCTGAGGTATCTTGAGATACATATTCAGTAAGGATTGGACTCCATAAACTTTTTACAAGATTGATCTCTTATTTTAAAAGCCTTTGCTGTGAAGAAGAAAAAAATATGCAAAAACTAAAAATACAACTTCAGACCCTCTCCTTGCTCAGCGACAACCATTTCTCATTTAATCACGAGCATTTTGTTTTGCTCCAAGAGCCTTTTTGGCAAAGACTATGCCTTTTTTTTTTTTTTTTTCATATACCATTGCCCCTCCGCCCATACATACCCTCCCTCTCCAGAGTTTTGTGTCCATTGGTTGTACTTATATGGATGTATACAAGTCCTTTGGTTGATCTCTTATCTTCCCCAAATCTCCCTACTCTCCCCGCTGTAATTTGACTGTTTGTTGCTTTACTGTCTCTATATCTATCTTTTGGTTCATCTATAATGTTTATAATGTTCTTTATTATCCATAAATGAGTGAGGTCATGTGGTGTTTCTTTCATTGATTGGCTTATTTCACTCAGCATGATATTCTCCAATTCTATCCAGGTTGCTGCAAATGATGAGAATTTCTTTTTTTTTTTATGGCAGCATAATATTCCATTGTGTAGATGTGCCATAGTTTTTGGATCCAATCATCTGCTGACGAGCACCTAGGCTGTTTCCAAATCCTAGCTATTGTAAATTGTGCTACTATGAACATAGGGGGTGCATATATCCTTTCTGATTGGTGTTTCTAGTTTCTGGGATATATTCCCAGGAGTGGGATTACTGGGTCAAATGGGAGTTCCATATTCAGTTTTTTGAGGAAACTCCCACACTGTTCTCCACAGTGGTTGCACCAGTCTGCATTCCCACCAGCAGTGCACGAGGGATCCTTTTTCTCCGCAACCTCGCCAGCACTTGTCGTTTGTTGATTTGTTGATGTTGGCCACTCTGACAGGTGTGAGATGGTGCCGCATTGTTGTTTTGATTTGCATCTCTCAAGACTATGCCTTTTGCCACGCCGGAGTCTGTCCTTCCTTTCTGAGGCACACGATCGACTCCATGGCTCCGTCTTCCTACAGCCAGTGTGGCTAAGTGGCAGGTCCCGTCAGTGGTGTGCGCCATTTCCAGGGTGGGCCTGAAAACGTGCAGCTTGCTCCCTAGCTGGCCTCCTCTTGCCTTCCCTCCAGTTGCAACCTGAAGGACTCCTTCCCGAGCCTGCCGGTGATGACGGTGTGCTAGCGGAACTCGGCCGGAAGGAAGCGGGTCCCAGAGCGGCCGCGTGAGCAGCTGCACACCAGCCGAGGCTGTGCCCCTGGGCCTGGGACACAGGCCTGCGCTTTGCTCTCGACGCCATTGCCTTGTAGTGTTGGGTCTTTGGTGAATAGTAGTTCTGCTTTTCACCCGAATTCATACACTTTTAAACTAGATTCAGAATTGGGTTCATCTGACGTGAGTTTTCATTGGCATTTTATTGTTTAGTGATGCTACTGAAGGTCTGGTAAATACTGGGGCAGGGGAGGTTTCAGGGTGATTTGGGGCTGAGCTGGTGCTGTATATATGATTAAGAACGTATTTATTAGACTACACCTCTATGTTTTATCTAAGTACCTATAAAGCTCAAGTAATGTTTTCTAGCATACATTTATCCAGGTCCTATATTTAACTTGAGAGAGCTTAGAGGTGAATTTGGTGTTTTCTAGAAAAATAAAAATATTTTTACAGACATAGCAAATTAAGAGTTTGAGGCCCCTAGAGATAGATATTTGTCAAAATCCAATTTACTTATGTGAAATGTTTATTTCCATCATTTCATGGAAATCTTTGCAATTTTAAGGACAGATGACAAAGTGACAAAATAGATCTATTTCGATTTTATTCATTCTAGTCCAGAGTTTATGGATAAACGACTTACATTATTTCTACTTCTATCCCATATACATAAAACTCCTATTTTCAATCAGGCAAACCCTGCCAGGTTTGTTTCGGTTTGCTCTGCCGGCCTCAGGCTGCCTTCTCTCCCTTGGATTTGAGTATTTCCTGATTGCTGTTTGCCTTCATTTTGCGGCGTTTGGTCTTGCCTCTGTGAGAATGAGCTCAGCTCTTGTGCTTGCTCTCTGCACAATCCATCTTTGGAAACCTCTGTTCTCCTGCAAGGCCCTTGCCGGCCCCTTTTTAGTCTCGTCCTTCCACTTTCCTTCTTTCTGCCACGTTCAGATTTGACTGTAACTTCCAAACCCGTGACATTTTCCAACTCTCTACCTACCTTTCTTTTCTCTCCTTCACGCACAGCTGAGGATGAGGTCAGCATTTTAAGGCTCTGTTCAAATGCTTCAGCAGCAGCATGCGCTCAGCTCAGAGCACTTACCTGTGACGTGTTTGGGTGCTTTAACTGTCGCTCTGCTCCCCACCCCTCCCCCTGAGACCCCAGCAAACTTCCTGTGGGTCAGCGCAGTTCGGTTCCCAGGACCCTGATCGCTGCAGTTGGCCAGGGAGCGGTCTGAAAGCAGACGTGGTGTCCTGGAGGGGGTCCCTCCGGGATGCCAGCCGGTGACGTCATAGCAGCTGTGGGAATGCCACGGGTGGCCTCGCAGCTAGAACGTTCACTGGCACTCAGTCTGTACCAGTGACAGCTATTGCCCTGGCTGCTGGGACACCAGGGATTGGTGCTGTGGCTGAAATAATATGTCCTGTGGAAAAAGACAGACCGAGGGTGAATACTTAGCAATGAAAGCTAAATGTGGCAACCAGAGCGCTTCCCTGGGAGCCTGCCAGCAGACCACCTGCAGCCACAAGCCAGGGCTCAGTCCGAAGACTTGAGCTCCTCTGTAAAGGCCCCCCACGCCAGAGGCTTGTCCTGAGAAAGGAGACCTGCTCCCTCAGGAACCGCCGCCTCCTTCCCTCCTGGCCATTACATCATCGGGACCGGCAAGAGGTCCCGGGCCTGTGAGGGCGTGTGTGGCTGTGTGTCAGAACAACAGTGATTTGAACAGGGACCATTGAAAGCGTTTTGATTAGCAATGGGAGTAGCTGCCAGTGGTAACAGCAGTCTGAACATTATGGTACAAGCTGGCATGGGGAGCAGCTGTTGAAGGTAGCGTGCTGAAGGACACATGAAATGAGAGCGATTCGGCCAGGTGACGCCCCAGCCTGTCATCTGCCGTAGGGTAGGGGTGTCGAACTCAATCAGAGAAGGGGCCAAAATCTAAAATCCAGCCTAAATCGCGGGCCAAATGGTTTACTGAACAGTCATAAACTGTCATTGTGATGGAAACGCAGCGGAGTGCAGTGATGACAGTGCGGTGCGGGCCACATTGCAAGGCCTGGCGGGACGGATTTGGCCCGCGGGCCTTGTGTTTGACACATGTGCTGTAGGGAGTCATCTGCCGTAGGAAGACCCCGGGGTGAGGGTCTTCGCGGGGGCTGCAGAAGAGGGAAACAAATAGCTTTTGCAGCTTTGAGGCAAGCTGCAGTGCCGCTGCCCTTCTTTTGAAAAGTTTCCCAGGAAGAGGCCACAGAATCCGGAAGAAGCTGCTCAGAATGATCTGAAGCAAGTGGCTGTGGCAGAAAGAGTGGGCCTCGTGTAGTGGGCACCAGCTGTGCCCAGGACTGGTCCTTGCTGGTAGGCTGCTCACAGCACAGCGCCTCCTGGTGATCGCCTCAGCTGCAAAGAAACTGCTTGGCCCCAGGACACCCATGCTCCCAGGAGCAAACCATCCGGTGGCGGGTTGGTGCTGAGGCTGAGGCCCAGCTCCCTAGACCCACCAGGGTCAGCTCTGCAGGGCATGTCAGCTCCCTCTGCAGTGACGGCACCTTCACTCGCCTGCAGAGGTCGGTCCTGAGAGCACTTCCCGGTGACCTTTCTGACCAGAAACTCCCGTCTCCTAGATGGCCACTGGGGCCACACTTGTGCAGTGCATGTGTGTAACGTACACAGTGGGGAGATTTGGACACTTACTTTAGAAATGGGATCACATTTTCACTGATTTCTGCGTCTCCAAGTCAACTGATACTGCTTCAAGTCATCCTTTCCAATGGCTGTGCTTCAGAGTGTGGGCGTTACGTAATTTATTCGACTTCCCTCTTGATTGGTATCAGTCATTTGCCAGGTTTCTTACAAGAGTTTTCAGAATCAAGTATTCAAATATAAATGCCAGGTAGTAATTTTTAATAAACATTTCACGATCACATAAATTTTCCTCCAGTTAATTTGAAGATACTTTACATAAAAACATTCCTTACAATGATAATAGGCATTTTGATTGTTATGAATTTTGTTGTGTTGTTTTAATAGCACAACTTATATGACTTCGATTTCAGTGATTGGTTAATGCCTCGTGTTTCTTTTTTGTGTTTTTAAAAGCTGCAGAAGTGGTAAATGAATCCAGTGTTAAGTATTCAGTTCTTGAAGATGGGAAGAATCAAACTCTCGATAAAATGGTAAGTCGTTGCAAATATGAATAATTAGATAACCTTCACTTATCAAACAAATATTTGTTAAGTGTCTACTATATGCTAGGCACTGTGGATACAATGGTTTGTTTTTAAATATATTTTTTTATAGATTTCATACATGGGCTGCCTATTGCACACCCCACACTGGGGATCAAGTCCTGACCAGAAATTGGTTCCTGGGTTGATGTTCCACCACTGAGCCACACCGGCTGGGCTGACTTTTTTTGTATACACCTCCACAGATTTATAATCTATATAATAAAAACCTAAGTGACCATTATGGTGGAACAACCAGAATGACCAGTCGCTATGATGCGCACTGACCGTGGAGGGGCGGGGGGGGGGGGGGGGGGGGGGGGCACACACAGACACTCAGTGCAGGAGCTCCCCCTGGTGGTCAGTGCTCTCCCACAGGGAGTGCTGCTCAGCCAGAAGCGGGGCTCACAGCTGGCGAGTGCAGCAGTGGTGGCGGGAGCCTCTCCTGCATTTGTGGAAGTGCTAAGGTGCAGCAGTGAGCAGAGCGATAAGGAGCAGTGAGCAGGCGGGCAGTAAAGAGCGAGGGATTTTGGACTGCAAGAGAGCACAGGCCGGGCTGAGGGACCCCTCCCCTGCAGTGTATGAATTCGTGCACCGGGCCTCTAGTGTAATATAATGTTATGCTTGACAATCTTCTCTACTATAAAAATGAGTATAAATTAAAATTTTCTGTGATCCTATTATTAAGTGTTAAAACATTTTCTTTCAAAATTATTAAAAAGTACAATTAGTATATAGTTGTTTAAAACAATATAAATATATCATAACACCTAGAAAAGAAACGTTAAAAATAACATTTTGTTAACAAATCCCATAATTAATGGATAGGCATGGTCATCCCCCTTTCCCCTGTTGGGAGCCATCAGAGTTGGGACAAGCAACTCTGTCTTAAGGAAATAGAATTAAGTTCCTTCTAGCAGAAGTTATGCGGTGCTCTGAGGGCTTGGCCAGAAGGTAAGATTAACCTGCCTTAGCATCTTCCTGCCGCTTCCCCTTCCTGATCCTCCCCCCTAGATAGCCCAGCCTTGGAATGTTGCACCTTGGAATGTTACACCGCCCTGGCAGTTAGCCAATCCTGTCTTGCCAGATGCCAAAGACCCCTCTGCATAGGCAACCCTGCCCCCCTTTGTTTCTGCTGTATAAATACAGCCATTTCAAAGAATAAAGTAGAGGCTTGATCAGAACCTTGTGTTGCCTCCATTCTTTCGCGTTCCTTGTTTGCTTCATTCTCTTAGGTGGTTCCTGCGTGCCCCCGTTGTTGCCCCGCGGGTCGGGACACTCCCCCTCAATTGGTGTGTGATACTTTGAGTGAATATCGCATACTGTTGGTTGAGGCAGAGGATTGCTGCTGAGCCATATTTTAAATGCATTTTTACTAGATAGATTAACACCATGGTTGGCAAACTGCAGCTCATGAGCCACATGCGGCTGGCTCTTTGGCCCATTGAGGGTGGCTCTTCCACAAAATAACCACGGCCTGGGCAATTCTATTTCAAAGAAGTGGCATTAGAAGAAGTTTAAGTCTAAAAAATTTGGCTCTAAAAAGAAATTTCAATTGCGGTGCTGTTGATATTTGGCTCTGTGGACTCATGAGTTCGCTGACCACTGGGTTAATATATCACATCGTTGTGGCGGGTTCAGTTTCCCTATAAACGACCATTACTTGGAAGTTGTGAGTTTTTAACCTCCAGTCTCTGCACATCGGAACTTACTCCCATCCATGGCTTCTCTGGTCACTTGCACGAGTCCTGCCCCTGGGGTGGTTGCAGACTTTTTGAACTCCTGCCTGGTCCTACCTGGTCCCACTGGTCCCGCCTGTGATTCACATACTGGCGGGCTCCTGCTGGGTGGAAGAGTGACCGCTCTGGAAGACACCACTATGTAATTCACTGGACAGCGGGATCTAGCTTCTGCGGAGCTGTGTTCCCACTTTACTGCAGAGGGGGCTTATAGATCTGTCTTAAGGATCCATGTGCTAATGAAATGTCTCCCCCTTTTCCGTAGGATCTTCATTCTTTCACAAGCCAGACATCTAGTGCTTCTCTCAGACTCCCTCAGTCCTCCAGTATCAGACTCACAGGTCAGCTGCCTGCTAACCAAAGACAGAACCTCAGCTCCCGGACTCCTTCCAGCCGTCCACCCCCACAGCATAACCACGAGGCTCCAGTGCTACAGAAGAAGGAACATAGAAGAAAACATCTAAAACAACATTTCAAGAATGAAAATAAAGAAAGCATGACTCTTAAAAGAAAACACATTCCATGTCATAATTCACCAGACAAAAGGAGTCAACACACAGCACTGAAAGAAGATGCTGAGCAGGTGGAAGCCTCCCTGAGTCCTGGAAACCATCTCTGCGATGTCAGGCATCTGGGGGATTTGGAGAAAAGCCAGCTGATGGAAATGCTCCAGCAGGCCGCATCCCTGGTGGTGACGCTGATGTACAAGGATGGTTCAACCCAGCTACGGGCTGACCAGGTCAGTGAGTAGTGCGGCTTTCTTTACTTTGTTTTTCTGGCACCAAAAGAAAAACCCATGCTTCTAGTGTCTGAGTAGAGCTAGGCATAAGATTTTAAGCCTTCCCTTCTCCCCAGTGGTAAGCTATTGATAATGCATAAGGTTTCTTAAAACATATTTGTATTGATTTCAGGGAAGAAGGGAGAGGGAGAGAGAGAAAAAATCAATCATGAAAGAGAATTATTGATCAGAATCGAATCCAGGACCCTTCAGTCTGCAGGCCGACACTCTATCCACTGAGCCAAAGTGGCAAAGGCAGTCTTTTTTTATTTTAGTCATGTGAGTGGATATGACATGGTGTTTCATTTGGTTTCATTTGGTTTTAAATTGTATTTCCCTAATATATGATGACATTGAGCATCTTCTCATGTGCTGACTGGACATTTGTACATTTTCTTTGGTAAATGATCCATTAAAATCTTTTGCTCATTTTTTTAAATGAAAAGTTTTTATTGTTAACTATTGTAAAGATCCACGAATTTTCATCTCTTTTCCCACCTCCACCCACCCCTGCCTCCCCCTGCCTTGGCCTTCACCACACTTTTGTCCATGTCTGTGGGATATGCATATATATTCTTTAGCCAATCTCTCCACCTTCTTTATCCAGTCATCCCTGCACCCCTCCCCTCTGGAACCTGCCAGTATGTTCCATATTTCCATGCTTCTGATTCCATTTTGTTCATCAGTTTATTCTGTCCATTAGATTCCACATATTAATGAGATAATGGTATTTGGTTTATTTTACTTAGCATAATACTCTCTAGATCAATTCATGCTATTGCAAAGAGTAAGAGTTCCTTCTTTTTTATAATCACACTGGAGGTCCAGTGCATGAAATTCGTGCTAAGTTATGTTCCGTAGGCCTGGCCTGTGATCAGAGCCAATCTGTGGGGTGACCAGTAGGATGATGGGAGGGGGGAAGCCCACTCATACCCGCCTAGGCTGGGCTGGCGCTGCCTGCTCCCTGGCCCTGCCCCCTGCCATCTTGGGTCGGGGCCTGCGGGCTGGGGGCAGCTTCTATCAATACATTGAGTGTCTGCCCCCTGGTGGTCAGTGTGTGTCATAGCGACTGGATATTCCGCTGTTTGGTTTATTTGCATATTTGGGTTTTATATATAATAGATAGATAGTATTCCATGGTTCAAATGTACCACAGCTTTTGTTTCCACTCATTTGCTGAGGGGTACTTGGGCTGTTTCCAGATCTTGGCTGTTGTAAATAATGCTACTATGAGCATAAGGGTGTGATTTTCTTCATGTTTCTTTCTTTCTTTTTTAAAAAAAAAAAATTTTTCACAGAGAGGAAGGGAGAAGGATAGAGAGCTAGAAACATTGATGAGAGAGAAACATCGACCAGCTGCCTCCTGCACACCCCTCTTCGGGGATGTGGCCGCAACCAATGTACATGCCCTTGACCGGAATCAAACCCAGGACCCTTCAGTCCGCACACCGATGCTCTATCCACTGAGCCAAACTGGTTTCAGCTTCTTCATGTTTCTTATACTTAGGGTTTATTGATCTTCTTGGTTCTACAGATTAACTCGGGAAAATAGACATTCAGTTTTTGGTACTCCAGGTGGGACATGATGACATTCTTATTATTTTGGGTTTTGTACTCCTTGAGCATGGTATGTCTCTCAGTTACTTAGGTCTTCTCTGATTCCTTTCAGCAGTGTTTTCAGCATATATATCCTGTACATATTATGATGGTTTTTAAGTATTTCGTTTTTAGAATAGTTATTAAAAACAATAATTTTTTATAAGTTAAGTTTTACATGTTTATTTTTTAAAATCTTTATTGTTGAGCTTATTATAGATGAACATGTTATTGTATCAGAATGCAGTTGGTTTTATTGTTTTGACCTTGTATCCTGCAACTTTGGCAAGTTTTTCTGTAGATTCCTTTGGGTTTTCTATGCAGACATTTGTATCATCTGTAAATAGAGGCAGTATAATTCTTCCTTTCTGATTTATGTATCTTCTCTTTCTCTTTCCTGTCGTTTCGCACTGGCTAAGACTTCTATTTTGATGGTGAATAGGCAGGAGAGCAGATTTGGAGAGTAAGATCATGAGTTTGGTTTCTGGCCTCGATTGTTATTAAAGAGCTGTTCCTTTACAAATTTAGCCTCAGGTCTTTTCTGTCTCTTTCATGATAAAACATGACATATCTTTCTTAAATAAACATGTTGTCTATGTTTAATATTGGAACTCTGTTTCATTGTCTATTCCCAGGCCCCGGTTTCCGGTGTGAAGGGAATTGTGCTGTTACCGCAGAGCCGCGCAGGAGGCGGCCGTCCTCTGGCTGCCTCCGCCCCGGGCCGCGCTCCGGAGGCAGGAGCCCTGCCCAGCGACCCGTGCGTCTACATAGAGACGGCGCCGCCTGCGGTCTGCAGCCAGGAACAAGGAGCACACAGCCAGTTTGCCCGGTAAGAACATGTTACTGCCCTGAGGTCTACGGACATGCCTGACTTATCCTGGTTTAACGTTCCCAAGCTTCAACTTTAATTGTTTAGACTTTTAGACGTTTCACATGAGCCATGAAAATAAAATGGATCTAAAAGACAGAAACCTCTCTCACTGGTGCTCCCCCTCCCCACCCCCAGCCCAAGAGCGTCCGTGGGGACCTGCTCCAGGATTTGACCAACATCTCAGTGAGAAGTTGGTGAGAACCCACCCTCCCAGGCCTAACCCCGTCACTGCCCAGTCCCAGGTGCTTCTCCGTCCGCTGGGCCGCTCCCTCGGTGACAGTGTCAGAGTGAGGGTGCTGCTCCTTCCACAGCAGACTGTCCTCAGTGCCGCTGAGATCCCGCCCTTCTCAGAGCCTTGTTCTGGGGAGCAGGCGGCAGGGCCCCGCGCACCTGCCTCCTGGGGTCTGCACTGTTAGCCCAGGGGGCTTCTTTGCTCCTCCTCGGTCCTGGGAAGTCCTGCTATGGGGGAGCCTGTGCCCCCATCCCTCACTGGGGGCGTCAGCCTGGCTGGGCGCCTCCTCTTCCTGTGCCAGCCCTCCGAGTGCAGGCCAGTTAGCCGCCCCCCTGAACAGGAGTCCGGGAGGCGCAGGACGAGACAGTGGGGCCTCTGAGCAGCCTCCGTGGGCTCTGGGTGGTGCCAGGTCATTGCCGTGCGAGTCCCAGCCCATGGGAGTGAGGCCTCTGCCAGGAGTGGTGGAGGTGCTCGCGCGGCCTGTGTGACTGGAGGGAGCCTCCATAGACATCCCCCCACGGGCCCAGTGTGTGGCTGGGCGGCCCTGTGGGTCTGACACGATCACAGGACGCCCGTCAGCAAACACCGCAGGAAGCTGTGAGGAAGGCTGTATTATTCATAGTGCACAGCTGGAGGTACACGGCTGCCGGGGCCCCCCCTCAGCGAGGCTGTGTGAGGGGAGAGCGTGGACCTGGGCTCTGCCTTCCTCCCACCTGAGGGGGTGCCAGGGTTTCGAGCGTTTACTCTGTATTGGCCAGTGGACGCTGAGAGCGGGCGTCAGGGCAGGAGGGGAAAGCGTGGTGCCGCATGCGGTCAGGTATCTCGGTTGCCCAGGGCTTTCTGGGTGGGGGACCTCCATGTTGGGGGTGGCCTAGAGCCTGTGTGGCTGGTTCGCTAGCGGCTGGGTCATACCGCTGGCCACATGTCTGTTCGTGATGGATGTCTTTGAAAATGGATACCATGCGATCCAGAGCTGATGTCAGGCACTTAACGAGTCATTTCTGGTGAGAGCGGGACAGTAACAGATCCAGCATTCTGCTCCCACCAAACCCGTAGCCTCCCTTTTATATAGTTCCTGTTGAAAGGCCGTCACTAGGTCTGTCCTATGGGAGACTGAGAAGGAGCCCTGTATTTGGGGGGCCTCTTCTCAACTCTGGGTGTTTGAACCCCCGCGACACCCTGCATTGGACATTAATCGTCACTGCAGCCTGAACATGCGCAGAACCGACCTCCTGTCTTCCCTGAAACCGGCCTCCCGGCCCTTCTCCTCCTGGTTCACGGCAGCTTTAGCCTCCGCGGGCGAGGCAGGAGTCTTGGCATCATCCTCAGTGTCTCTACATCTTCAGAAGTCTTGGCATCATCTTCACTGGGGAATCCCACTGGCTCTGCCTTCAAAATAGCTAGACTCGGACCCCTCTCCCCTCTGCTGCTGCGGAGCAGGCCCTGCCTCCTGACTGAGTCCCAGCAAGAGCTTCCCGCCCTTCATTCGGTCCTGCTCACACATGAACCACCAGGCCACCACCCGCTCCACCCCTCCGACAGCCTGTTCGCTCAGGAGAACCAGAGTTCCCACCAGAGCCTGTGGCTCCTCCACTGCCTCAGCCTCATCCCCTCTCCCTCTGTCCTGTCCCGCCTCCTGCTGCTCGCTAGCTCGGGAGCCTCTGCCCACAGGCCTCTGCCAGCTGCTCCTTCTCCCAGATCGCTGCGCAGTTGGCCACCTCGTTCCTTTATGTTTTTTTAAAAGCAAATTATGAAAATGCAAGAGTGGAAAGAATCATATAATGCCCATATCCCATTCACCCAGGCCAGCTATCCAAACAGAAGGGGAGGAGGCTGGGCTGGGATTAAGGAAAATACCAAACATGTCATTTATGTCACATGTTTCAGGATGCAGTGCTAAAAACATGGGCTTTCGCTTTAGCTGGTTTGCTCAGTGGTTAGAGCGTAAACCCTCAGACTGAAGGGTTTCGGGTTCGATTCCAGACAAGGGCTCTATCCTCAGCCCTGTCAGAACACACGTGGGAGGCAACCAATCGATGTCTCTCTCTCACATTAATGTTTCTCTCTGTGTCTCTCCCCCTCCTTTCTACTCTCTCTAAAAACCAATGGAGCCGGGACCGGTTTGGCTCAGTGGATAGAGCGTCGGCTTGGGGACTGAAAGGTCCCAGGTTCGATTCCGGTCAAGGGCATGTACCTTGGTTGCGGGCACATCCCCAGTGGGGGGTGTGCAAGAGGCAGCTGATCGATGTTTCTCTCTCATCGATGTTTCTAACTTTCTGTCCCTCTCAATTCCTCTCTATGTAAAATCAATAAAATATATTTTTTTAAAAATAAAAAAAATAAAAACCAATGGAAAAAATATCCTCAGGTGAGGATTAACAGAAAAAAATAAATACTAAAAACATGGGCTTTAAAAAGTCTTTCCTGTTGGAAGTATTACATATGCCCCCTTTTTCTTTCTTAAAGCCCACCCACTCCCAGCCTCCACTCCCAGCTGTTTGTGTGCACATGTTCTTCCGTGGTTCTCAGAGGGAAGATCTACCCCCACACTCACCCCCACTCCCACTCCCACCCTCCTTCACTCTGAGATTCCAGTCTGTTCCATACCTCTGTGGCTCTGGGTCTGGGATGTTCAAGTCCCCTCGTATGACTGTATTGCTGTCCGTCGCTCTCTTAAGGTCCTCCATACGTTTTTATATATTTAGGTGCTCCTCTATTGGGTGCCTGTATGTTTACAGGGTTTATCCTCTTGTTGATCGATCCCTTTAGTATCATGTAGTGACCTTATTGCCTCTTGTGATGGCTTTTGTTTTGAAGTCTATTTAGTCAGATATGAGTATTGCCATGCCAGCTTTTTTTTCATTTCCATTCGCATGGAAAATTTTTTTCCACCCCCTCACTCATTTCCTGTGTGTCTTTTGTTCTGAGGTGGGTCTCTTAGAGACAGCATATAGTTGGGTCATGTTTTTGTATCCATTCAGCTACCTTATGTCTTTTGATTGGATTATTTAATCCATTTACATTTAAGATTATTATAAGTAGGTACTTATTAATTGCCATTTTAACTCTGTATGCCTAGTAAATATTTGATCAATGTTATTAATTAATGAATATTAAGTTTAAATTTTTGTAAGTTCCAGGACAATTGTATGAGGACATTGCCTTAAACACCATATAGTGGAATGATCCCAAGTCTTCGATAGCATCTTTGAGATTCAAAATGAATTTAAAAAAATGTTTGCACAATGCAAATTTAATATCATCTATTAAATACCTATGCAAGGTCTTTTCACATACATGCTCTCTCTCCATCTTAGTATTAACTGTATGTGTCAGGGTTTATTATTTCCATCTTACAGATGAGGAAACTGAGGCTCAGCGAGGTAGTCACGGGTCAGTCTTGAGATTCAGTTCAGGCCTGCATTTTACACTCAACTCTTGCCTTTTGTCCCAGCGGCCTTCCTGTCTGGCAGGTGGGACACAACCGCTTACGTAACTGCCTTAGGAACACACTGTGGGCCACTGGTCTTATGGGCATTCCTTTAGCTGTTGGTCTTATCAGGATAGAAACCGCAAGCTGCCTCTCTCACCAGCGCAGCTGTTGTAGGGAGAGGCCCTGCCAAGGACCCCAAGTGCCCAGGGTGGGGGGGCATCACATGAAAGGAAGCTCCCAGGCCCACTCTGCTCCCTCGTGCGCTGGCTCCCCCTCCCTTTCTCCTCCCGCCCCCCACCCCAAGACCCACAGAGCCAGACCTGAGCTGTTGGCACTTTGCCCTCCCCACCACCCTGGCCTCCCACTTCAAGAGAAATCAAAGTGAAATGCAAAGAAAATGCAAAAAGCCTAAAAGTGTCAGTCTGAGCAAGCCAAGTATCGATAGAATGTCACTACATGCTGGCTCGGTGTGCAGAGCTGGTGAGCTGGGGTTTCTGTCTCCCTCGGCCTCTCAGAAGGCCTTACTGAGGCCCTTACAGCCTGGCCCAGCAGAGCCCCGGGTCCCAGACCTCAGCGGGGCTACCTGGGCTCGCGCTTACCAACTCTGGGCCTCGGTTTCCTTATCTGCCAGTGGGTCTGAGGCCTGCCTGAGGGATGGGGTGTCAGTGCAGGAGTCCCTCCGGAGCGGGTAGCGTGCCGGCTGCGCAGGAAAGTGTTATGAACGAGCGCGTTAGCAGCCGCCCCTCAGGAGCTGGGGGTGTGATGGGAGGAGTTTCTGGGAACGGCAGCGGGTGGGCAGGAGAGAAGGACCACAGGAGCGCTCCGGCCAGGGATCCGGCCCGCCCTCCTGAGCGCAGCAGCTGGAGGAGCTGTGGGAGGAGGATTGTGGGCAAGGGCACAGCTGAGCAGTGGCTCCGGGTGCAGGACCGGCAGTCTGGCGATGGAGGAAAGGGGACTCTGTGAGCTGGGGTGGGGGGCCGGGGGCAGTGTTGGGAGGGGTGCTGGTGGCGGGCTGGACAGTCCTGTCGGGCCGGCTGTAAGGAGTCAGAGGGCCAGTGCGTATGCTCTGCTCGGGAATCCGGGGTTTTGTCTTAGGTAACGGGGCTTTGCCTGAACTGCTGGGCCACCTTGGCTCACTGCTTAGCCTCTCTGTGTCAGCGGCATCATCTATAAATGCAGAGGATAGATAGGTAATACCTGCCTCACAGGGTTTCTGAGTTAATGTACGTAAAGCCCGTAGAAGGATGCCTGCAACCCAGTACTGTGCGAGGGAGTGACAGCGTTTCGGGGAGTAGTCCTCAGGGTCAAAGTTCATTAGTGTCTAAGTCGGTGAATTTCTCTTCACCTTCTAGGCGGGTGCTGTTTCAAATCCTGAAATGTAGCCGCCCCGTCATCTGTTTCAACGCTAAGGATTTGGTGAGAACAGTGCTGCAGTACTTTGGCGATGACGGCAGCTGGAAGCACGGTACGTTATGGCTGATGGGTAAGTTACGGTTGGAAGGACAGGAGGCCCGGGACCTGGGACTGGCGCCCTGCGGGGGGCTCTGCACCAGCTCCGGCAGGTCCAGGCTGACGTGGATTGTGGGGCCCCGGCTAGTGCCCACCGAGAACTGGAGAAGTTGGTGTGGAAACCCACACAGCTGGTCAGGGACGCAGTGGAAACATTTTTTTCAACAATCCCCACGCCCCCAGCCTTCTTTCCTCTAACTGCTGCACTTCCTACTACTTCCTGTGAATCCCGAGCATCATCCGGATTGTCTGTAAACGTTTCAATCATGTGACAGATCCGAGGATTTCATTTCTAAGATGATGTCATCGCTGTATCTCCCCCACAGATCAGCAGTAATCCTTTAACGTTATTAGATGTCCAGGCAGTATTTGCACTTTCCAGTTGTCTTTCAATACTTTTGTTGGTTTGTCTTTGTTTTTACAGTTTGTTTGAAGTGGGAGCCATACCTGGGATAGGTGCAATACGTTTATAATATATTTTATTGATTTTTTACAGAGAGGAGGAGAGAGTGATAGCTAGAAACGTCGATGAGAGAGAAACATCGACCAGCTGCCTCTTGCACACCCCCTACCAGGCATGTGCCCACAACCAAGATACATGCTCCTGACCGGAATCGAACCTGGGACCTTTCAGTCCGCAGACCAACGCTCTACCACTGAGCCAAACCGGTTTCGGCTACAATATGTTTCTTAAGTCTCTTCGACTCTGTATGTTCTCTCCCTCTGTTTTATACCCTTGCAATTATTTTGTTACTGTTGATGGAACCAGCTTGCTTGTCCTGGGGGATTTCCCACAATCTGGACTTCGCAAACACATCCTCTTTTTGCCAATTAACATGCTCCCCTCTTTGCTCTCTTTCCTGTAAACTGGCACCTAGATCCAGAGGCTGGGTCGGATTCATGCTGGGTTTCTGGAGGGCAAGGTTGACTCATAAAGCTGCGCTTGACCTGACCCTGACCCTGACCCTGACTCTGACCTCTGTGGTGATGTGTCGGTTGTCCAACTTTTTTGTGATAGTGGAACTTCTATTCATGTTAACTCTTCTCGTCTCTCTTCCATATTCACCAATTTATCTAGAATCTGTTTTCAATCTCTTCATTTTTTTTTTATTTAAAAAAATTCCTCTTTTCCATTTTTTTTTTTAACTTACGGCGTTACCTATTACATTTGTCTGCTTTTGTGTAATGCCAGTTTTTATTTCTGAAAATTTTTGCATTTCTCTTTCCTGAATTCTTTCACTTTTTTGTTCAGTTTTTCTAAGTCACCTACTTTCTAAGTATTTCTAATTCTGATTTATTTACTTTTCATAGATTTTACTATTTTCTTAGTGTCCTGCATCTGTCCTGCCCGCCATCCCGCCTCCCAGAGCGCGGAGCGGGGTGCTCAGGCAGCTCGCGTTGCTCTGCCTTCCGCCCGGGACACTTGGCTCCTGAACAGCGATGCGATGGCAGGCGGGGCCCGAGGTGGCCGGGGAAGCAGCCCAGCGAGAGGCCAGAGGCGGAGGCGGGGAGGACGTGGAGAGTAGGAAGGGTGCGAGGTGTGGGGCAGCGAGAGGTGTGGGAGCAGGCGAGAAAGGGGAGAAAGGAGGCAGGAAGTGTGGCTGAGGATTCTGGCTTCGACCTCTTTTAACATTTTGAGAGCCAAATTCCAAGTTAGTGTGGAGGCTCCGCCCCTCTGGGCATGGGGGATCAAACCCATGAGACTGGCCTTGTGGGACCTGGGTCTGTGGAGGCCACTTACCCCAGGCGCAGCATTCCTAGTACTGACAGCCCTGTACCCTGAGGGGGTGATAAGATTCTGATCATTAATTTGAACCTTGAGAAACGTGCAAAAGCAGAGAAAAGTATAATCCCTCTACCTTGTAACGGCTAAATGAGCTTTCTCTCCTCAGTGGCTGACTTCGTAGGGCTGGACCCTAGAATTGCTGCGTGGCTCCTAGATCCTAGTGCTGCCACACCCTCTTTTGAGGATTTAGTGGCAAAATCCTTCGGAAACGCTGTCACGGTGACAGTGAGCAGCACGTATGGGAATTCCTCAAGAAACACTGTGGTGAGTTGTTTTCAGATAGATTTTACCAACTTTAATACAACCTGAATTTTAATCCTCATTTGAGGGTATTTTTCCCATTGATGTTTCAGAGAGTGAAAGAGAGGGAAGAGGGGAGGAGGAGGGGAGAGAGAGAAACGTTGATGTGAGAGAGACACATCGACTGGTTACCTCCTGCACTCTCCCCAACCAAGGGTGGGGGCCAGCAGGCAACAGAATGTGCCTTTAAATGGATTTGAACCTGCAACCCTTCAGTCCTCAGGCCAGTGCTCTAACCCGGAGAAAAACCTGCCGGGGCAACACAACGCGTTTTTCCACGGAAACTCTAGCACTTCAGAGGTAGCTCGTAGGAAGAACGTTGCTGCTATTCGCTCCCACTTACCCGGCACAAAGCCTTTTGTTTCCGGTCGGCATGAAGGACGGCGGTTCGCTCCTTCGTGAGGCTGTTCCTGGGGAAACCCGTCCGCGGTGCTCTTCCCTGTGGACTCTGGTGTCGGGGGCGCCGGCTCCCTGAGCAGAGCGCTTGTTTATGAATCTTAGAGCCGGCGATCGGCAGCTGCGGCAGAGGCCCCGCATCCACGGCCGCCTCTGCAGAGCACCCAGAGTGAGGGGCTGGGCCCGGACCCTCCGTGGCCCGTCCACTGTCACTCCTTGAGCCAGTTCAGCGGAGACAGGGCTGAATCCTATGTGAGGCTTTATTCCAAAACTGCCGGCCCTGTGGGGGAGCAGCAGGTCAGGCCTGTGCGTGTGCGTGTGCGTGTGCGTGTGCGTGTGCGGGACTGGTCTCTAGCATGTGCCCCGCCCAGAGAGACCAGGCCGGCCCGCCCAGCATCCAGGCGACAGGAAGATTAGACAGGTGGGGCGCTGTGGCTCATTGAACACAGACTCTGTCCCCTCCGGCCCTGTGTGTGTGGTCCCCGGTGAGAATGGGGGGACTCTGCTGGCTCGCTCGCTCGTGGGGGGTGGAGGAGTGGGAGCCCAAGGCCAGGTCGTGTCCTCTTTGTGGCTCGTGCCTCTGGAGTGAGGGGGGCTGGATTGGGGAGAAAGTGTCAGTTGGCAGGAAGCTGGCATTTGCCCAACAGGAAGTGCGGTCCTTAGCAGGGGCCCGCCTACTTGGAGTCGTCAATGGGTGCTGCCACAGATGAGTGACAGCTGCTGGCAAACGGTCTGTGAGTTATGCTACTTCCTAGATGGTGACGATTGCTTCGGCCAAGGTTGCCGAACTCATCCTTTTGGTCTTTGGCAGAATCGGAACGTGTGTGCCAACCTGCGGGTCCTCTACCGGCTTACGATGGACCTCTGCTCTCGGCTGAAGGCAAGCACGGGGTAGCCTCTGGGAGCCTCTGCTCACTGCAGCCCGCTGCCTCGCATTGGCACCCACGCGCAGGAGCAGTGCCCGCTGTGTGGGATGTGCAGCAAACGGCGCGAGTTCTGAGGCCCGTTAGCTCCGTCCCTCAGGACACGGTAGTCCAGCGAGGAGACCTGAGTTCTTGGGTGTTTTCTGTGTGGAAGCACTGGTAGCGTTTCTGTGCTGCGGCGAGCACTGCATGGGAGACTACCGTGCACAAGTGCCACACCAATGAACCGAGAGAGATGAGGGACATTGGGGGTGGACTGCTCTCCGGGGTCCTGGTCTCAGCAGGTCTGGGCGATCCAGTAGACACCGCGGGAGAGGGCTTTACCAGGAGGGCGGGAGGGGCTCCTGGGTGGGAGGCAGCCCATCCCCGGAGGAGGAGCCGGGTGCGCTTAGGGAGGGAGGAGGTCGCTCAGCGATGGGCAGCCTCCATCACAAGAATGTTTCTTCCTGTGACACAGGCTTCCGGTTTGTGGCAGCTGTTCTGTACCCTGGAGCTGCCTCTGATCCCCATTTTGGCAGGTAAGCTGCCTAATGCCACCGGATGGCATCTTTCCAGAGGGAGGGAACTGGTAAAATTCCTTACATTGTTTGGGGACGACTGTTCTCTCAACTCACTTTGGGGCAGGCAAGGTCACATGGCCCGACGAGGTGGCATTCCCTTTACTTCCCTTTCTGTAACCAGGGGTTGGCCTACATCGCCTGTGTAGAGCCACCGGAAGGTTCTGACATCCGGTCCTCGGGGTCTCTGTGTTGTCTGGATCTGGGTGCCCTGGCCAGGGTCCACCGCCCTCCTGGTCCCTCCTCGCTCCTGAGAGCAGCCGTGCGGGCGGAGCCTGCATGCCAGTAGTTGTGGGTCCTGGGGTGCTGTCCGTTAGCCCTGCATGAGACCCCCTGGAGCAGGGTTGGGAACGTCCGGCCCATGAAATCCTGTGTCTGGCCCTGCCCAGGCCCTGAGCATCAGTGAAGTCAATGTTTGACCAAAGGTAGCAGGCTAACTTGTAAGCTGATAACTGTGTACAGCCCGGGATGCCGTTATAAATTCCCCGTGGGCCTTGGCAGGAAAGGGTTCCCACCCTGCCCCGGGGCCTGCCTCAGACTCTCCTCTGCAGGCCCCGCTGGGGAGCAGAGCAGCGCCTCGCCCAGCGCCCTGATGGCAGGGGCAGCTTTCCACACAGAGCGTGTCCCATGCCTGCTGCCACTGCTGCCGGCCCTACAGGGCTCTGGGCCGAGTGTGCTTGCAGAGGCACTGGCGTCACTGCCCCCTCAGGGACGGGCCCGCTCCCTGCCCGCCATCTCACCGCTGAGTCACTGACGCCGATGTCCCCTGCCTTGGTTTTGGACGCAGTGATGGAAAGCCACCGCATCCGGGTGAACAGGGAAGAGCTGGAGAGGACCTCCGCGCTCCTCGGGGTGCGTCCCGGTGAGACCCTTCGCACGGTAGCTCCGCTTCTGGACCAGCTGCTCCCTTCGCTTCCAACCAGCTGAGCTGCCACTCTGACCCGGAGAACCGCGGGAGGCTGAGCACGCTGCCCCTGGTGGCTCTAGAGGGTGTGCCTGGGCTCCATGGGCCTCAGCAACCTTCTCAGGCCAGGCTCCTGCCAGGACATGGCCCCGGAGTGCGGTGAGGGGAGTCCTGGGTTTCTGGGATTCCTTAAAAAAGCAACAACATGTCTAACAGTGAACCATGAAAAGCACAGGAGTGCATGGTAATGCATAAAAAAAATGTTCCACTTCAGTTCTTTTTTAAAAACATATTTTATTGATTTCAGCGAGGAAAGGAGAGAGGGAAAGAAAGATAGAAGCATCAATGAGAGAGAATCATCGATCAGCTGCCTCCTGCACACCCTACTAGGGACAGAGCCTGCAATCCCGGCCTGTGCCCTTGACCGGAATCGAACCTGGGACCCTTCAGTCCGCAGGCTGACCTTCTATCCACTGAGCCACACCGGCTAGGACTCCACTTCAGTTCTTTTTATTTATTTATTAATCCTCACTCCAGGATATGTTCTTGCTGATTTTAGAGAGAGAAGAAGGGGGAGAGAGAACATCTATCAGTTGCCTCCCCGGATACTCACCCCTTCCGGCTTCGAACCCGAAACCCAGGTATGTATCCTGGCCGGGAATCGAATCCAAAATATTTTGGTGTATGGCAGTGGTCGGCAAACTGCGGCTCGCAAGCTACATGTGGCTCTTTGGCCCCTTGAGTGTGGCTCTTTCACAAAATACCACAAAAATTCGGTTGTTTCCCTGCGGCCACTGAGTGACTGACAGGCAGGCCTCGGTGTAGGGTGGGCGGGCTGGACAAAGGGGGTTAATGTCCCAGGCGGACGGAGTGGGACAGCACCAGGCCTCATCACAGCACTCAGGGCGCTGTGCTCGTGGCCATCTCAGGTGCCAATGGAGGGCTGTGGCATCGCAATGCTTGTGCTAAAGTCGCCCTTACTTTACTTACCCTGTTTCCCTGAAAATAAGACAGTGTCTTGTATTAATTTTTGCTCCCAAGGATGCTCTAGGTCTTATTTTCAGGGAATGTCTTATTTTTCCATGAAGAAGAATACGGTACACATTTATGGTTAAAGGAAATTGATTACCTGCATACGGTACGGTAGTACAGTAGTTGTCAACACAAACCAGACAACTGTGAATCCTACAGTATCAAGAATTTACTCATTTATTCAATGACAATCATGTCATCATCTTCTGGAACATCATCACAACAATCCAATTCCTGAATTTCCTGATGAATTTCTTGTGACTCCATTTCTTTCAGAATCAGTGGACCAAATCTCTCACGTTTAGCAATAACATTCTGAGACAGAGCCTGGAGGGGGGCCTTATTTTCGGGGGGATGCCTTATATTTCACTCAGAAGGAAATCTGTAAGTAGGTCTTATTTTCGGAGGATGTCTTATTTTTGGGGAAACACGGTAGTTATGGCCCAAAGCCCAGGAGTGATGTGACCGTAGATTTGCCAGAGAGAAGCCGGAAAGTGCTTTCGTTACGCACAGAGTGAGGGCAGGCAGTGATGGGAGAGGCGCATTCACAGAACTTGTGTGACAGGATGTTGTTATAATTATCCGATTTGCTATTAGCTATTGCCGCTGCCTGGTTTGTAAGTTGAACTTACCATCGGTATGGATGTATAGGAAAAACACAGTGTGCAGAGGGCTCAGTGCTGTCCGCGGTCTCAGGCAGCCATGGGGTCTCGTAGCGTGTGCCCCGTGCATAAGGGGGACTGCAGGTCTTTGTCGTAAATCAGTCCTGTGCAATGTGGTCTTTGCCGGGCTCGATTCCGTTCTCATTGGTTTGCCTGTCCGTGTGCTTATTACTGGAGCTTTACAGTATGCTGCCATCCTATAGTGTGCACCTCAGTGCATGAATGTCGTGCATCCGGCCTCTAGTTTTCATGTAAAATTCTTCCATTTACTTTTAAAAACACTGCTCGGATTTTTATTCCGTTTTAATGTGTGTGACAAAGAGTAATATACAGAGTATGTAGAGAACTCCTATCAATAAGAAACAGCCCTGCTCTGGCCAGTTTGGCTGAGTGGATAGAGCATCAGCCCGCAGACTGAGGGTCACAGGTTCGAGTCAGGTTCGAAACAGCCCAGGACTGCAACTGAGGTATTGCAGTCCTGGGCTGTTTCTCTCTGTTTCTCCTTACTCTTCCACTCTCTCTAATAATCAATAATGGAAAAATATCCTTGAGTAAGGATTAACTAATAAGTAAATAAATAAAATTAGAAAAAAAAAATGGTTTAAAAAAGAAAAAGTCAGTTATCACAAGTTTTTAAATGAGTTAAATATTTTTTGGGAAAATCTAATGAAAGATGGACGTTTCAACCCCGAGGATGCGAGGCCAGCACAGGCATGTAGCTGAGCGCTGCCCGAATTGCTGATCCCCAGAAATGTGAGGGACACCACGTGGTGTTTGGGGCCGTTTGTTAAGCGGCAGCAGGTAACCCATACTGCCCACCCTGCTTCCTGCCACTTTCAGAGCCTGGCTCACAGCAGGACTGACCTGGGTCTCCACAGGGCCTCCTGCTGGGCCGATGCTTTGTAGTTCTCAGGAGTTTCTGCTCCGATTAGATGTTTGTTTGTTGTGCCTGAAGCTATCTGTCTTTCTGTCTTTCTCTGTTTATCCTCACCATCACCGTTGTTGCTTCTTCAGCACAGGCGTGTGCTCCCGTGCCGAGTGAGTGGGAAGCCCCCGTTCTTGCTTCATGTTCTGAGATCACACAATCTGTGACACAGTCTCTGTCTCCTAAGGTCTGACTTACTCCTCAGGGACCCATCGTCTGTCTTTTAACGCTTTGTTCCTTGCTTTTTTATTTTTATTTTTTAATATATCTTATTGATTTAATACAGAGAGGAAGGGAGAGGGATATAAAGTTAGAAACATCAATCAGCTGCCTCCTGCATACCCCCCATTGGGGATGTGCCCGAACCAAGGTACATGCCCTTGACCAGAATTGAACCTGGACCTTTCAGTTCGCAGGCTGACGCTCTATCCACTGAGCCAAACCGGTTTCGGCTGTTCCTTGTTTTTTTAATCGTCTGTTTCTTGTTTTTTTAATAGTCTGTTTCTTTAACTCAGAGCATTGGCATCTTTAACTGAGGCTGTTGTCCTGGGTTCTTGGTTTTGCTGAGATCTTACTTCTTTATATTATACTGGTCCCACTCCTAGTGTTCTGGCCCCTATTTATAAACTTCTTAGAAATTTCTGCCTTAGGGCAATTCTAAAGAGTAGAATGTGGGCATTTCACCAGAATTGGTTGATTTGACTCTGTTCTCTCTTTCCTTTCACAGTAATTTTTTGTTAAGTCCTGGCCTCCTCCTACTTTTCTTCTGACCAAGATGGTGAGGGGAAGGGTCTGTAAATGCAGCCCATCCTGTGGCTCTGCCCGGCCTAGCGCTGTCTCTGTGGGCTGCGCCGGCTCAGAGGCGGACTCTCCGTGGCCGCGTCTCTCCGTGGCTGCATCTCTCCGTGGCCGCGTCTCTCCGTGGCTGCGTCTCTCCGTGGCTGCATCTCTCCGTGGCCGCGTCTCTCCGTGGCTGCATCTCTCCGTGGCCGCGTCTCTCCGTGGCTGCGTCTCTCCGTGGCCGCGTCTCTCTGTGCTGAGTCTCTCTGTGGCCGAGTCTCTCCGTGGCTGCTGTGGCCGTGCAGCTGGGCCCTGCCGTGGGTCACGCAGGGTGTTTGATGCGTGTAATGGGATGCTGGACCCCTTTCTAGTCAGATCGCTGCTGGAGAATTCACTCTTTCCCTCCGTCATTTTGGTGAAATTTTTTACTATTTTTGCTTCTTTCAATTTGTTTCCTTAGCATTAGAGAGATCCTGTGAGCCTGGGTATCTCACCAGGAGTCAAAATATGTATTTTTAGTGTTCAAATATGTCTTTGTGTTCTTGTAAGGGCTGTTGTTGGGAACTGTTTGGTGAACAAATCAAATCCTCGTAAACTGCCAAGAGACTGTGTTTGTCTCATTCACAGTCTCGTCTCAAGGAATTGGAGCGAGAAGCCCACTTTGTGGCCGGAGAGCAGTTCCTCGTGACGAGCAGCGACCAGCTCCGAGAGGTACAGCTGCCTCTGGTCCATACACAGTAAACTTCTTATCCAGGAGAAGGGAGATTTGTCCTGAGCTTACATTCAGCTCACGCTCTCTCACACTGCGAGCCTTTACGCCCAGAAAAGGACAAACCAGCCTCTCGGCACTCTGCTTGTGCCGTGGCTGCTGTGGCCGGCGCGGGCCTGTGTGCGGTGCTGGTCCCTGCTCACCGGGCCTCACTGTCTTCTGTTGAAGATCCTCTTTGGCAAGCTGAAGCTGCACCTGCTGAGCCCCACGGGGACGCTTCCCAAGACCGGGATGCGGGGCCGCCTGTCCACGTCCGAAGCCGCGGTAAGACCAACAGCCTCCCCTTCTTTCCGAGCGAGAGCGTGTCTGCGCCACAGGTGCGCCCCAGGCCTGCCGCTGCCTGTGTGGGACGGGGCACCAGGCCCGGCAGGTGGGGGGTCACGCTCCCGCCCCAGGGCTGCTGCTGCTAGCTGTGAACCAGGAGCCAGGGCAGCTGCGCCAGTTTCCAGAGCAAACAATTGACTTGGTTCCCACGAGGGACAGTGGTAGAAGCTTGCTCTGAAAACCAAACTCCTGACAGCCCAGGCCAGGCCCCCGTGTCCCTGCCCACGGGAGCCCGGAGACGGGAGGTTCTCGTCCTCTGCTCTTCCACGTTCACTTCAGAGCGTCCTGGCCGCCCTTCCCGTGCGTTTTACATTGTGCTTCACTCCGTTTAGTGGCGCCGTGGGTTAATGAGTGATACAGCTTCCAGTGCACTGTGCCATGTGCGTCACCTGTTACTGTGTGTTCTCCACCCGGCAGGTCTCCTTCCATCGCCATCTGTCCCTCTGCCCTCTCCTACCTTCCCCTCTCCCTCCCCTCCCCTCTGGTCATCGCCACACTGTGGGGTAGCAATGAGTTTGGTTTGGTTTTTGGCTTCATCCCTTTACCTTTTCCACTCAGTCCTCACCCCCTCTCCACTCTGTCAACCATCAGTCTGTTCTCTGTGTCTGTAGTCTGTTTCTCTTTTGTTTGTTAGTTTATTTTATTCATTAGTTATTTTATCCCACATATAAATGAGATCATATGGTACTTGTCTTTCTCTGACTGGCTTATTTCACTCAGCATAATGCTCAACAGGTCCATCCATGCTGTTGCAAAGGGTAAGATTTCCTTGGTGGTTTTTTTTTTTTCCATTGTGTTAACAAACCATGGCTATTTTTTTTTTTAAGTATTTTTTTAAATGTATATTTTATTGATTTTTTTTACAGAGAGGAAGGGAGAGAGAGAGAGAGTTAGAAACATCGATGAGAGAGAGTCATCGATCAGCTGCCTCCTGCACGTCCCCCACCGGGGATGTGCCCGCAACCAAGGTACATGCCCTTGACCAGAATCGAACCCAGACCCATCAGTCTGCAGTCCAACGCTCTATCCACTGAGCCAAATCGGTTTCAGCTGAACCATGGCTTTTTTATCCACTCATCTACTGCTGGGCACTTGGGCTACTTTTATATATATAAAAGGCTAAATGTCCATCCTTCCCTCCTCCTGGTAGCTATGACACGCAATGACCACCAGGGGGCAGATGCTGTGACCAGTAGCTATGACAAGCACTGAGCACCAGGGGTAGACACTCAGCACAGGAGCTCCCATGACACACACTGGCCATTTCAAAATGAACGGCACCACAGACCTGGCCCCAACACACCGAACACTCGGCTTCCCCCAAGAGGGTCACAGGTCCCGCCACCACCCCAGACCGACACCTCACCAAATCACAGCCAACACTACTAAGACCCCATGGCACAAAATGCAGCCCACAGCCCAGCCCAGCCCAGAAATGGTCACTGGGTACCAGGTAATGACGTCACATAGCAACGCCCATCTTCCTCTCCCTAGCGACCACTAGCCTCCTTGCAGTTTCTTCAGCCCAGGAACCCAACTTGCTTTACAGCCAGGTGGAAACATTTCACACTTTAACCAAATGTCTGTGAAGCCTTTTCCTGCGCCTCATCTCATTTGATCCTCACAGAAGTCCTGGAGTGGGTAGATAGGAGACTTGGTGAAATCCTATTTTCTTTTCATTAGCCAGAAAATGGAGATTTAGAAAGTTTAGAAACTTGACCCAAATGAAAAAAAGGTGGACCTTGAAAATGACTTCAGATCTTCTCACTGTGCGAAATATAGCCAAACACTGGTGGAGCTTGAACCCACAACCTGGGCATGTGTCTGACCGGGAGTCAAACTGTGATCTTCTGGTTCCTAGGGTCAACCGGCTCAACCACTGAGCCACACCAGCTGGGCAAGACAGTTCCATTTTTAAAAGACAGGAGTAGCTTGGTTGGGATGTTGCCCTGATACACCAGGGTTGCGGGTTCAATCCCTGGTCAGGGCACATAAAAGAATCAACCAAGGAATATATAAGTAAGGGGAACAACAAATCAATGTTTCTGTTTCTCTAAAGTCAATCAATCAATCAATCAAAATCAAAGGCAGGGAGTGGTAAGCTCTGCTCTAGGAAAGTGGCGGAGCATAGACAGATGTTTACAATCCAGGAGGCAGCAGCGGAGAGCTGAGGGCGGTGAGAGTGCCCCTGTCCCTCTGCTGGGACCGCTGCAGAGGCCAGCAGGGCTGCTGTGCCGTGTTCAGCTGTTGGCTCAGCAGCCGGGGAGGCCGTGCTCCGTGGGTATCGCCTCTCCGTCATTTCACTTCCTGCGCATCTCACCTGGCGGGCCCCTCGCTTGCTGGCTGTCCCCACACCTGGCGCTTGGGGGCTCGGGTGGCCACTGCTGTGGAGCCCGGGTCCCCTGCAGGGACCTGGGTTCGTGCCCTTGGGCGTGTCTTCCCGCCGCGGCGGACGGCCTGCCCTTCTCCGTGTCCTTGGGAAGCAGGGCAGTGGCGCCAGCCACGCCACCTGCCCAGCCTGGGCCACGTTGCTTGACTGCTTTTGCCTTAGTTTCCTGGTTTGTAGCAGAGGGCTATAAGAGTAACGTTCCTGCTAGATAGAATCTTGTGAGGATTCTGCAACTGTGTGTGTGTGTGTGTGTGTGTGTGTGTGTGAGTGTGAGAGAGAGAGAGAGAGAGAGAGAGAGAGAGAGAGAGAGACCATGCCTGACATAAGCTCTCAAAAGCCAATGAGTATTGGCTATTATTATGAGCTTCTTCACCCAAAGACTAAAATCATCTCTGATTCCCTCCCAGCCTCGCCCGCAGCCCATCTTACAATGCCTACGTGCGAAGTCGGTCTTGAGTTGGCCTCCCTCCCTCCGCCTTGGCTGGAGCCCTTCCCCTCTCCTCTCACACTCCTCCCAGCTTCCTGCGCGGCCGCTCCCGCGGCTGTCTTACGCCTGCGCTCAGTCCTCACCCCCCGGCCGCAGTCTTCTAGTGTTACAGACCATGGCATGTCCCGGCTGGGTGGCTCATTGGTTGGAACATCGTCCCATACACCAAAGGCTGTGGGTTCATGCATAGTTGGGGTGTGTGCAGGAGGCAGCTGATTGAAATTCCTTACCTCAATGTTTCTCTATCCTTTCTCTCTAAAATCAATAAACAAATCCTTCAGTGAAGATAAAAAAAGAAAAGAAAGCCTGGCCAGTGTGGCTCAGTGTTTGAGCCTCAATCTACAAACCAGGAGGTCCTAGTTCAATTCCCAGTCAAGGGCACATGCCCGGGTTTCAGGCTTGATCCCTGGGGGAAGGGGTGTGCATGTAGGAGGCAGCTGACCAATGATTCTCATTACTGATGTTTCTCTCTCTCTCTTCCTCTCCCTTCCTCTCTGAAATCAATAAAAATACATTTTTTTAAAAAGAGAGAAACCAGCCGAGACCGGTTTGGCTCAATGGATAGAGCGTCGGCTTGGGGACTGAAGAGTCCCGGGTTCAATTCCGGTCAAGGGCATGTACCTTGGTTGCGGGCATATCCCCAGTAGGGGGTGTGCAAGAGGCAGCTGATCGATGACTCTCTCATTGATGTTTCTAACTCTCTATCTCTCTCCATTCCTCTCTGTACAAAATCAATAAAAAAATATTAAAAAAAAAAAAAAAGAGAGAGAGAGAGAAACCATGTCACTCCTGTGACACGAACTGCCAGTGGCTTTCTGTGACACTAAGTCTGAAACCCTAGCTCCAGAGTGTGGCGCCTGCCTGTGGGTCTGGCGCTGCCCCTTCTCTGGCCTCGCTCCTCCGCACTCCGGACGCCACGCCTTCCACCTCCAGCCTCCCGAGCACACCTGCTGCCCAGGTGTCTGCACAGCCCTGGCCTCTGGACACTCTGCCCGCAGATCTCCACGCCTGGCTGCATGCTGTCCACCTCAGCGCTGCCCAGGCCCCTCTGGTCACCCAGCAGCGAGGCCCTGCAGCCATTTCCTCACCTTCATTTCTCCGGCCTCTCTTTCTACTTTACACTTTTGACAGCATTACAGATGTCTCTCTCCCCCCCCCCCCCACTCCCCTCTGCTCAGCCCCTCCCTTCTCCCCCCAGGTCTTCACTGCCCGATCCTTTCTTTTCCTACACACACTCACCATATCCCATAGTTACCGCAGCTGCTTGCTTATTCCACTAGGATGTGGGCGGCCCAGCGCCTAGCCCTCCGCTGGCTGGTTCACTCCATCCCAGAAGCAGGCAGCCTGGAGCTGGTGCGGATGGGAGCTGGTGGCTGTGGTTTGTTCTCCGGGCAGCAGGGGGCGGGGCCAGCTGGGAGACCTGGTGTGGGATTCAGCGCCTGGTGGCTGGGAGGGAGGGAGGGCAGCGAACCCGGTTCCAGCAGTGGTGGCGCCTGGGGAGGCCGCCCCTGCGAGGGTCCTGGGCGGACTCAGTCTCAGTCCTGGCACCAGCTGGCGGGGCCCTTCCCTGCTGCTGCCTGAGCTGCTCCGAGGCGGAAGGAGGGGAAGGAGCCTCTCGGGTGTAGAGGAATTAAGACGGTGACCTTAATTTCCCCCAACATGAGGGCCCTAAGTCATACTAGCCTTCTCTGTTTACCTGGACAAGCCATGCTGGTCTGTGCGTACAAAACATGAGTGTTTTGCCCTGGCTGGCTTGGCTCAGTAGTTAGAGAGAGCGTTGGCCCTTGGACCAAAGGGTCGAAAGTTCAATTCCCAGTCAAGGGCACATTCCTGAGTTGTAGGCCTGATCCCTGCTCGGTCCAGGAGCAGGCAGGCGGCAACCAATCGATGTGTCTCTCACATTGATGTTTCCCTGTCTCTCTACCCCCTCCTTCCTCCCTTCCACTCTCTAAAAAAAAAAAATCAATGGAAAAATACCCTTGGGTGAGGACTAACAAAAACAAACAACAAAAGATGAACTTTTACTAGACGACCCATGCACATGGTTCTCAATTAAAAATTAAGTCTCCAGGAGGATCCAAGAAGGCTGCACAGATAAATACCTAACCGCAGCCGCACCCAACAATTTCAATAAAATACAACTAAAATATAAAATGGACATTACCCAGAACTACAGGAAAGTTGACTGACTGGGAATTCTACAACGAGAAGCAAGGAGAAAACCAGAAGGAAGCGCGGAGGAGCTGTAAAAGCCTAAGGTTCGGAGACACGCGGCGCGCGGAGAGGACAGAGCCGGAGAGGAGGGGGAGGCTGAGTGCCTGGCTGGCATTCCCTAGCGGGAGGGAGATAAAAGCTCCAGACTGTGCTGATCCCCAGTTCCGACTGCTCTGAACCCCAGTTCTAGGCCAGCCCCAGGGGACTCAGGCTCATTCAGAGGGAGCTGGGCTGTGAGGCGGAACCCCGGGGGAGCGGCGAAAGGCAGAGCCCCCGGAGCTGTGCACATTGCGCGCAGAGAAGGGACGGTTGGTTGTGCCGCGGGATTGCCCTGGCGGGAAGGAGACGGGGTTCCAGGCTGCTCTGAACGCCACCTCCAATCCCACTTCCAACTGAACTGAACACCAGTTCCGGGCCCATTGTGGGAGAGACTAGACTGTTTGGTAGCAGGCGAAACTCGAGGGCACCTCACTCTCAGAGGTGCTTGCAGCGAGTACTGAAGGACCCTGAGGAATTCTGAGATTCAGGAGCCGCATAGGGCATGGCTGACGGAAGCCAAGCCTGTAGGCTCCACCCTGAAACTCCGCCCCATCAGGGAAGAAGCTGTGAAAATGCCAAGACTAGGAAATAGATCACAAACGAAAGAAATGGAGGACAAAAAGCGACTGGATATAGAGTTCAAAACCACACTTATAAAGTTGTTCAAGAATCTCCTAGAAAAGGCCAATAAAATAAATAAGACCTATGAGGATATGAAAAGGGGTCAACTAGAAATAATAAGGGATCAATAAGAAATAAAGAATACGTTGTCTGAAATAAAAATATTATACAGAGTCCTAAAAACAGAATGGAAGATCGCAAGAATCAAGTCAAAGAGTTGGAACATAAAGAGCCAGAAGACACTCCTCCGCAGAAGCAAGAAGGCAAGAGAATCCAGAAAGTTGAAGATAATGTAAGAAACCTCTGGGACAACTTCAAGTGAACCAACATCAGCATTATGGGGGTTCCAGAAGAAGAGAGAGAGCAAAATACCGAAAACATACTGGAAGAAATAGTGACAGAAAACTTCCCCCACCTGGTGAAAGAATTAGACTTACAAGTCCAGGAAGCACGCAGAACTCCAAAGAAAAGGAATCCAAAGAAGACCACACCAAGACAAATCATAATTAAAATTCCAAGAGCAAAAGACAAAGAGAAAATATTAAAAGCAGCAAGAGCAAAGCAGGTAGTTACCTATAAAAGAGCACCTATACGATTGTCAGCTGACTTCTCAACAGAAACCATGCAGGCTAGATGGGAATGGCAAGAAATATTCAAGGTGACGAATAGTAAGAACCTACAGCCAAAGATAATCTATCCAGCAAAGCTATCACTCAGAATCGAAGGCCAGATAAAGAGCTTCACTAATAAAAAAAAGCTAAAGGAGTTCATCACCACCAAACCAGAATTATATGAATTGCTGAAGGAAGAGAAAGTAAATAAAGATAAAAAAAATACGTAACTATCAAGTGAATCTAAAAACCAAAATTTTTTTTAAAAATCTAATGAACAATATTAACTGGTGAATATAATAGAATCAGGGGTATGGAAGGGGAGTGAACTGACGATTCTCGGGGAAAAGGGGAGATGGGGATGTGGGAAGAGACTGAACATAAACTGTACACCCATGGATGAGGACAATGATGGGTGGGGAAAGGGCAGAGGGTGAGGTGGGAACCTGGTGGAGGGGAACAACGGAGGGCGGGGGGAAGAGGAACATCTGTAATAATATGAACAATAAAGATTAAAAAAATTAAGTCTCCACCAAAACCTGTTTGGCTCATTGGATAGAGCATCTGCCTGCAGACTGAAAGGTCCCTGGTTAGATTCCGGTCAAGGGCATGTACCTTGGTTGCAGGCACATCCCCAGTAGGAGGTGTGCAAGAGGCAGCTGATGGATGACTCGTCGATGTTTCTAACTCTCTGTCCTTCCCCCTTCCTCTCTGTAAAAAAATCAATAAAATATATTTTAAAATAAAAATAAAGTAAAATTAAGCCTCCTCTCCACTTCCTCCACCCTCAGTCTTCCTGTGAGACACACTTATGGGGCCTACCCACACACTACAACTGCCAGAGCACCAGCGCCCAGGCCAGTTCACAGGTTCAACATGATCCTCACTGAAACCTTGGCAGATGTTTCTTGTAGAAGTCGGCAAGCTGATTCCCAAATTTAAAGAGAGATGCAAAAACTAGGAACCAAGATAATCTTGGGAGATAAAGCACTCCTGGAAGACTGAGTCTGTTGGACAGCAAGACTAGCCACGAAGCGATAGAAATTACCAGGCGTTAATCCGCACCCCGTGGCGTAGATTCAAGGATAACCGAACAGACGGAGAGGTGCGGGGAGGAGCCACGAGCAGGCCCCCTGGCCTGTGTGAGACCCGGACTCTCAGAGGCAGCGCTGCGGGGCCGGGAGCAGTAGGCGGGCGACAAAGGACCAGGGCCGGCCCTCGGGGCCCTACTTCACATCCTACACAGAAGTAAATGCCGAGCGAATTGGGCAGCCACACACCAGGCACAGCAGCAAAGGCTGGAGCAGGCGCCGCAGAGAGTATCTTCAAGGCCTCGATGTGGGCAGACATTCTGAGACCGGTCACAAAAGGCATAACCGTGAGGAAAGTGGGTGGGACAGGGGACGGCCGTGAAGTGAAGAACGCTGATGAGAAGGCGCCGCTGCCAGCGAGAAGCCGGCTTTCCAGAGACGGCGATCCTGGTTCACAGGGAAGAACGCCCGTCCCGGCAGACACGTGCCCACAATCCAGGAGAAGCAGACACGGCGGCTTCCCAGGCCAGGCCACGCACAGGGTCCACTGCGTGCTGCCGGCCGCCCCTGTCCCTGGGGCCACGCCAGGGAGACATCGCCCACTTTCCGGACGGCCGGGATGCGGGCGGGGCAGCACTGTTACCGGAGACTCGGGCACCGGCTCCCGGGTGCTGGTGACCCGCTGGACGGTCCCTGCTGCAGGCAGCCCGGCACCCGGCCACCTCACGCCCCCTGTGTGTACACTCAGCAGCTGCAGGCGCCGTTCCCAAACCGTACCGTGTGTCCGCCGGGCGCTCGCCACCGCAGCCGGTGCGGAAACCACACGTCCATCCGCGGTGGAGGGAGAGGTATGGACCTGCCCTCAAACAATCAGCTTTACACTCCATGGCATGGTCTCCACGGCGACAGGGGTGAGCCATCAGCCATCACGCTGACCACAGGAGCCACACAGGGAACCTGGCCTGAGGGGTGCAGGGCCTGAGTGTTCCCGCTGGGCGAGCCAGGCATGTTCACTTTGTGATACTTTAACAAATCGTGTTCTTAGGAGCGTGTCCTCTGCTGAATGTTATATTACCACTTTTCAAAATTAATTTGAAAATCCTTAATCATGTTCTGATGTTACTCCCTGACTCCATGCCCAGCTCACTGCGGTTCAGGTGTCGGCTGCTCCTGAACAATCACATGTTTGTAGGAATTTTCCGGCTTCTCTCTGCCACGAGTAGTCACTGATCCGCTGCCTCCTGCACGCCCTCCACTGGGGGTGGGGCCGCAACCCAGGCATATGCCTTTGATGGGAATCGAACCCGGGACCCTTCTGTCCCCAGGCCGACGCTCTATCCACTGAGTCAAACCAGCCAGGGCTGCCGTGTGGTATTTTTTTAAAGAATTTTTAGAGAGAGGAAGGGAAAGAGACAGAATAAGAGAGCTATGGATGTGAGAGCAGCATCCATCAGTTGCCTCCGTACGCAGCTGGCCCAGGATAGAACCCGGTGTGTGCCCAGCCCCTGAATCACCGCCGCCTTTTGGTGCAGGACGCCACTCCCAGCAGCTGAGCCACAGCAGCATGTGGCGTCCCCCACGCCCCAGCTGGAGTCACTCATCGGGTCTCCTCCCGCTCACCGCCGTGCCCTCGCGCCCGAGGACAGCAGCCGTCTCGTAAGGGGTTGTGGTAGGGCCCCTGCTACGCTGAGTTGCTTGTGAATCTTCATTTTGGGAAATATGCTCAATGGAGACCACTTTCCTATTAGGACTTTCTCCGGCTAAAAATACATGTCTGGAATGTCACGCTTCAATGGATGACTATATTAATAATGTTTACTCTCGTTTTTTAGTTAAATGCTCTGCAAGCCCTCCATCCACTGCCCAAGATCATTCTGGAATACAGGCAGGTAAGTTCGTGTGTAGTCATCTGGTGACGGAGGGGAAGCTGAGGGCACCGGCTCTGTTGACGGAAATCCGTAGTCGCCGAGGCGGCTGCTGAGGCCCTGGAGGGAATGTAGGTTCAGGGTGACCTGTGTGCGCACTGCTCGCCGGCACCCTCCGTGTGTCCCCGCCTACAACCAGCCCCTCCCACTGAGGGGCTGGGAACACGCGGAGGCGGCGTGGGCGTGTCTGTGACAGGTGACAGCCGGTCAGGCCCGCGTGTGGGAGCCCCTCCGTGCCCGGGGCAGGCCTGGTGCGTGGCCCGAGACGGCGTTTTACCGTCTGTTCAGTTCGCCGGTCATGACACACCCTTCCCTCCAGCCGCGCTGTGCTCTCTGCCCGCACCGGCGGCACTTCTGTTCTTGAACCACATGTTGCACTCGCATTGCTAGTCCTTCGGGGTCTTTTTGTTCCTTATTTTTTAAAATAGATTTTTGTTGATTTCAGAGAGGAAAGGAGAGGGAAGGAGAGAGAAACATCAGTGATGAGAGGGAATCGTTGACCGGCGGCCTCCTGCACGCCCCTGGCCCATAGGTGAACGCTCAACCACTGAGCCATGCCCTCCGGGCGGTACCACCGTTCGTTTGTTTTACTTTACTGAGCCCATGGCCTGCTGTCTGACAGTCTGGGCAGCTGCTAGCCGGCATGTGGTCACAACTGCCCTTGTCCTTGAAGTAAGGGAAGGACAGAAGGAGGACTGAGAGGGCACCACGGGGCACGGGGGCGGGGGGGGAGCGCCTGATCCTCATCGCTTGCTGAGGCAGGCTCCAGAATAACAAATCCCTACAGAAGGGAGCGCTTCTCGGCGGGTCGCTGTGGTGACATTCCGGCCACAGGGTCCTGGGTGGTCTCGGCGCATCGGCGGCGGGTGCCCAGCACTGGGTGGCACACGGCGCTGACGCTCGCTCCTGCTTAACTACCTCCACAAGAAGGCGGCGCCTCTTGTCTCCGTGCCAGGTTCACAAGATCAAGTCAACCTTTGTGGACGGGCTGCTCGCCTGCGTGAAAGAGGTACCGGGCCGGGCGTGAGGATGCGGTGCCTGTGAGTGCAGAGGGGGGGTCCGTAAGGTCCGGCGGCGCTGAAATCGGCTAACACATGAGTGTGGGCCGCCGTTGTGGGGCTCGGGCCTCTAGAGGGTGCCGCCCCGCCCCCAGGAGCCGGCCCAGAGGCCCGGCTGCCCCGCACTCACGCCCCTGCGGCTGCAGCTCCCCGAGGCCTGCGCTCAGAGACGGCCTGGCACCGCTCTGAGGACACACAGCTGTGTGCCAGCCCCCGGGCCCCCGGAGCCCCGCGGCCCTGCTGCAGTTACCCGCGGGCGAGGGGGCATCTTGCCCCCTGACCACATGGGCAGGGTCTGACCACAGGAGTCGGGGCAGGCGAGGGCCTCTGGGGAGCAGGGAGGGACCGGAGGGCATTGCCGGGGCTCACCCCATTCCTTCTGTAAAGGGCGCCATCTCCTCCACGTGGAACCAGACGGGGACGGTGAGCGGGAGGCTCTCTGCCAAGCAGCCGGTAGGTGCGCTCCTTGCCAAACCCACTTTCTGTTCCCACGAGGGCCCCCGTGCCAGAGTGATGTGCGTCCCCCGCCCTCCGTGCGCTAGTGCGGAGGTTCCTGTTTCTTCCCTCAGCTCATGTTTGCTGAGCACCTACCGTGCGATGGGAGCACCGTGGGGGCAGGACACGAGGTCGCTCTGTGGGAAATGTTGAGCTGGGAGGGGCTCTCCCGCCCACAGAGCTGTCCTCTGGGACAGCCCGTCCCACCGCTGCCTTCTCAGGGTTGTACTGACCAGGTGGCTGCTGGCTCCCAGGAGCAGGTTCATGGAGCTGATGGGCTGAGGCCCCAACCACTCGGGGTGCAGGGCTGCCTCTGAGGGGAGCTACAGGTGCTCTGGGCTGGGGGTGCAGGCTTAGCAACACTGAAAGCGTTCGCTCTTTAAACGGTTTTATGTCTTTGAATTAAAGACAGCGGGTTACTCATTCCTCATTACAGGAAGTGCCTTAGGCACAGAAGAGAAATGAGGGAAAAACTAGCGAAAAACCCTCGCGTCCCACCCGCAGAGTTAGCTGTGGCTGCCATTTGGTGTCTGTCCCTCCAGAATCTTTGCTAAGCGCATATATTTATAAAATACAACTTTTCTACAAAAATAAAACTATGCTTTTCCCTGGCTGGTTTGGCTCAGTGGAGAGAGCCTCAGCCTGTGGACCAAAGAGCCATGGTTTGATTCCGTCAAGGGCACGTACCTCAGTGGCAGGCTCCTCCCTGGCCCAGGCTCTGGTCAGGACTCATCAGGAGGCAGCCAATCGATATTTCTCTCACATCGATGTTTCTCTCTGTCTTTCCCCCTCTTTTCCACTCTCTCTAAAAATAATAATAATGAATAAATAATAAAAAAATAAAACTATGCTTTTAATTTTATTTAAGAAGTCTCGATATTATATACCAATATTTACCTGGATCTATATTTAAATTTAAATAATTGAATTATTTAAGAATATATCAAATATGTGAATTATTTCAATATACATTTTAACACGACTAGGATGGCTCAGTGGTTGAGCATTGACCCTATGAACCAGGAGGTCATGTTTTGATTCCTGGTCTTTCAAGGAATTTGTCCATTTCATCTAAATTGTTAATTTATGGGTATAAAGTGGTTCATAGCATTCTTTTATTCTTCTCATATGTGTAGTGATGTCTCCTCTCTCATTGCTGACATGGGTAATTTGTGTCTTCTCACTTTCTCCCCAGGATCAGGTTTTGGATTCGTTGATTTTCTCTCTACTTTTTGTTTTTGTTTTTATTGATTTCCTAGAGGCCCAGTGCATGGATTCATGCATCAGTGGGGTCCCTTGGCCTGGCCTGCACCCTTTTGTAATCCAGGACCCCTGGGGGGATGTCAGAGAGCCAGTTTTGACCCTATCCCTGCAGGCCTGACCCAGACAGGAGGGAGCCGGATCCTGTGTGTTGAGCATCTGCCCCCTGGTGGTCAGAGTTAACTGGTCACGTAGGCTTTTATATATATAGATGCTTTGATATTTGTCATTTCCTTTCTTATGCTTACTTTGGGTTTAATCTGCTCTCCCTTTTATCGTTTCTTAAAGTAGAAACTGAATTTATTGATTTGAAGCCTTTGTTATTTATTTATAGCCACTCAGTGCAAGTCCCCACATACTTATTTCTGGTATTTAATAAATGCTGCATGCTGTATTTTCATTTTCATTCCTTTCAAAAAATAAGTGCCCTTGCCAGGGAATTCAGTTGGTCAGAGCATCATCCCAATTCCAAGGATTCAGGCTCCATCCCTGGTCAGGCAGCCAACAAATCCATAAATAAGTGGAACAACAAATCAGTGTTTCTCTCTTCTTCTCTCCCTTCCTCTCTCTCTAAAATCAATCCATAAATGAAACATTTAAAAAAAACTATCTAGTAATGCTTTCTATGTCTTTTTGTACGTGGGGATTATTTATAAGTTTGTTATTCAGTTTCTAAGTATCTTCCTGTTATTGGTTTCCACAGAGGTCACAGAATATACTTTGTAGGACTCGATCCTTTTAAATTACACACATTTGCCTTGTGGCCCACAAAATGGTCTGTCTTTGCACCAAAACCGGTTTGGCTCAGTGGATAGAGTGTCAGCCTGTGGACTGAAGGGTCCTAGGTTTGATTCCGGTCAAGGGCATGTACAGTGGTTGTGGGCACATCCCCGATAGGGGGTGTGCAGGAGGCAGCTGGTCAATGATTCTCTCTCATTGATGTTTCTAGCTCTCTATCCCTTTCCTTTCCTCTCTGTAAAAAAATCAATAAAAAAATATATTTTTAAAAAATGGTCTGTCTTGGTGACTGCACCTGAAAAGCAGGTGCATTCGTCTGCAGTGGAATGGCCTGCAAGTTCCAGTCAGGCCAGCGGGGCTGATAGTGGGTCCTCGTCTCTCATGCCTTGCCGGCTTCCTGTCTGCTCAGGTGCCAAACTCCTCAACCACGGCCCGAAGTGTCCTCCTCCTTGCCATCGCCCCTCTTCTGTCTCCTGTCGTCTTTCTTTCATGTGTTTGAAGCTCTTTTATTTGGGACAGCAATGAACTGCTGGGGAATTCACCCATTATTTCTGAGAAATGGCCTTTTTATTTAAAACATATATATATATATATATATATATAGATAGATAGATAGATAGATAGATAGATAGATTGGTTCAGAGAGGAAGGGAGAGGGAGTAAGATAGAAACATCAGTGATGAGAGAGAATCATCGATCGGCTGCCTCCTGCATGCCCCCTCCTGGGGATCGAGCCCGTAACCTGGGCATGGACCCTTCAGACCCCAGGCCAATGCTCTATCCACTGAGCCAGACTGGCCAGGGCCACTTTATATTTCTTTCAGCTTCTGTAGGTCCAAAAATGTCTCTATCACACCTTTGATTTTAGGAGTTATTTTTGTGAGGTGTGAAGTTCTCAGTTGGAAGTTTTTCCGTCAGTACTTTAAAGAGGTTACTCTCTCCTCACGTTGTGTCTTATAAGAACTACTGTCGTCATTATCTGTTTCTTTCTACATGATGTGTCTTCCTTCTGGCTGTTCGGTTTTTCTTATAATTGCTAGTTTTGAAGATATTGATTATGATGTCCCTTGGTGAAATATTTTTCTTCCTCCTGTGTTGGGGGGGGCGTTTTTATTGTTCTGTTCTTCTCCTCCCCTCCCCTCCTTTCTCATCCCCTCTCCTCCCCTCCCCTCTCCTCTCCTCCCCTCCCCTCTCCTCTCCTCCCCTCCTCTCCCCTCTCCTCCCTTCTCATCTCCTCCCCTCCCCTTCCCTCCCCTCCCCTCCCTTCCCCTCCTCTTCTCTCCTTGGGAACTCCACTCTGATTGCATGTGCTCAGTCATTTGAGCTTGTCCGGTAGCACACTGAAACTCACTTTTCTTCTCGTCCTTGGATATGTTTTCCGTTTTAATTTGGATCCTTTTGATTACTATGTCCTGTGGCTCGCTCATCTTTTGTCACCTCAGACCTGATATTAATCCACCGAGTGTATTTTTCATATTAAACATTATCGTTTTCATTTCTAGACATTCAATTTGGCTGTCCAGAAATGAAAACTGTAATGCCCGCGCTCCACAAGCAAGCCAGCAGCAAAGTCGGGCGGCTGCCTTTTCACGCGCACAATTCTCCGCACCTTCACAGTTTCTGAGGGTCAGCGCGCCTTCTCTCCTTTCCAGATGGTAGAGCCTCCTCTCAGCCAGCCGTCCGGCGCTTCAGGGCGATGTTTCCCCTGTTTTCCAGTTCTAAATTTAAATTTGTTGTGGTAGACTGCATTCGGGTGTTTACCCTATGCCGCCATCTTGGTTTCTCTCCCAATTTGGATCTTTTTTATGTCATTCAGAGCTGTACTTAATTGTTCAATACATCGAATGCAGTTATAATAACTGTTTTACTGTCCTTGTCTGTCATTTCAACATCTGTGTCCAGCCCTGGCCAGTTTGGCTCAGTGGATAGAGCATTGGCCTGTGGACTGAAGGGTCCCAGGTTCGATTCCAGTCAAGGGCACGTACCTTGGTTGCAGGCTCCCGGTCCTGGTCAGGGGCATGGGTCCTGGTCGGGAGCACGCAGGAGGCAGCTGATCAATGTTTATCCCTTATCGACTTTTCTAACTCTCTACCCCTCTCTCCCCCTCTCTGTAAAAAATCAATAAAATGTATATTTTTTAAAAACCTGGGCCTATGCCCTGCCCGGGAATCGAACCCATGGCCTCTTGGTTCCTGGGTTGACGCTTTATCACTGAGCCGCTCTGGCCAGGCGGTTCCGAGTACTTATTGGCTGAGAACCCGGACTGTGGGCCCCCCCCGGTGGCCTGTCTCCGTGCGTGAGGTGCTCTGGAGGGACCACCGTCCTGCTGGCGGCGTGCGGCGGCTGGCGCTCTCCGCCAGGAAGGGGGGTCAGGGGTCACGGCCCCTCCCCTGACTCGGACGCGGGCTCAGCCTCAGTCTGCGGGTCCTCCCGGCTCTAAGACTCCGCCAGAGCCTCTCCCGGGAGCGCGGGGACCTTTGCTCCGGCCTCACCAGGAGCCGCATTCTTACCCCATCACCCCAACCCCTTATCGGCGGCGTTGGGTGTCCCGCTCGCGTTTCCGCGGGGACAGGCTGCTTTTGTCCGTGTCCTCATTTCACTGCGGCCCCTCGTGACCCCGCTGGGCACTGATCAGCACAGAGGAACCCAGAGGCTGGCCCTTCGCCTCGTGGCTGTGCGGATTCTTTGGTCAGAGGCCTCCTTTCCGGCCTAGGGGAGTCTGTGAGGGTTTCTTCTTTTTTCAGTTTTTAATGTCACGCTTTAACATGTGTGGATCGGGAATGTTGAAACCCACGTGTTACTTGTCGGGGAATCTTGCTTTGTGAGTGTTTCCCCGACGTTTCCTTCACTTTTCTCCCTGCATGGGGAGGTTTTGTTAGCGTTTGTGCCGGCTCTTTGTACCGGACCACGTTGGAGCCAAGTTAGGATGCGGTCACTGGTGGGTCACGCTTGGATGTGACGGATGACGGCTGGCCCTCCACGCTTGCCCTCACCTTCCAGCCGTCGCTCTGCCAGGCCTGGCCTGACCTCTCTCTCCAGCCAGCCTCCGTCTGGTCGCTGCTGGGTGACTCACCTCCACAGACTGTCTGCGCCCGTCCTCCCGCCCGAAGCTCGGCTCCACGGCCTCTTCCTGGGAGAATGGCGTGGAGCCCACACGCTGCCCAGTGTGTGTCCACCACCTGCTCAGAAGCTCAGAGGCCCGGTGCGGGGCGCAGTGGGTGAGTGTCTACCTGTGAGCCAGGAGGTCACGGTTCGATGCCCTGTGAGGGCACGTGCCCTGGTTGTGGGCTCGATCCCCAGTGGGGGGAGGGGGTGCAGGAGGCGGCCGATCCATGATTTTATCTCATCAGTGATGTTTTTCTCTCCCTCTCCCTTCCTCTCTGAAATCAATAAAAATATATATTTTTAAAACTTAAACATCACTTGGTACCTACAGAGCCTCTTCTCATCTGTTCCCACGTGTGTTCTTCTCACACTGCTTCCCTCTCATCCCAAGCTCAGCGTTGATCATCCATCTTGACATATTTCCTTAAGTGACAGGTGGCGTTTTGTGCTGCTTTCAAACTTGATGTCCATGGCCTGGCCGTGGGCAGTGAGGAGGACCTGGGCGTGTCCCCAGCGTGGCCTGGCCATGGGCGGGTGGCGCTCAGCTCCCGTCAGCACCAGTGCCCTCCCCTGCAGCGCCCCCCGGCTCTCTGCCCACGTGTGCCATGGCGTTTTCCGTGCTGCTAGTTGGATGCGTGTGAATGCCTACCTTCCTGTGGTGGATTTGCCTGTTTAACCCCTAACGGGGCAAGTTCATTTCCATCTGGTGGTTTGTGTTTCTCCAGCGACGCGCCTGTTTGTCTCCTTTGCCGTCTTCACGTTAGTGTCTGTCTTTTGTTAACTCGTGAGTGCTCTTTATATATCATGGACACTGCTCTTTGTTTGCGTGTATCAGTACCTGCTCCCAGCCTCGGCCAGTGTTCGGTGTCCTTCACGTTGTGCTCTGTCTCTCGGCCAAACGTAGAGGCTTTCTGCTTTCCTGTCGCCACGTGTGCCGTCTTTCCCTATGGCCTGGGCTCCTTTGTGTCTCCTTCCACGGAGATCATAGACACTCTCGTTCCCGTGTAACGGTTTAGAGTTTTGCTTTGCACTTGGGGTTTGCAATCCCCCTTGCATTGGCCTGTATGCAGCTGTCAGGAGCTTAGCATGTAAATATTCGGCGGTTTTTTAATATCATATGATTCGCCCTGACCTGTGTGGCTCAGTTGACTGGAAAGGTTGTGGGTTTGATTCTGGTCACATACCCAGGGCCAGGAGCACATACCCGGGTTGTGGGTTTGAACCCAGGTCAGGGTGTGTACAAGAAGCAACTGGTTGATGTTTCTCTCTCTTCCTCTCTCTCTTTCTCCCTCCCTCCCTCTCCTTTCCTTCTCTCTAAGAGCAATAAAAACATGTCCCTGGGTGGGGATAAAATGTAAAAGGTCATGTGATCCTAACGCCCAGAAGACTTGAGCGCCCGCCCTCTCCCCCAGGCTGGTGGCCTTGCCTGCCTTTCCCGCCCGGGGTTGTGGGCCTTAGTGTGTCGTCTGAGGGGCCAGCAGTCTGCACGGTGGCACAGGTGACCAACTGGTCCGGGAGGCGGGACCGCTGCTGGCCGGGCGCTGCATGAGCAGATGGCGCTGAGGATCGGAGGAGAATGTAACAGCCGTTCCCACGGTCGGACAAGGCAGCAGGCTGGAGGCCAGCAGTCAGTGCAGGGCTGTGACCTGTCGCTGTCGGGATGGGGTGACGGGGACAGACGTCCGTCACCAGCCACGGCCGCAGTGCAAAGGCCTCGCACGGGCCGAGCGCCGAGAGCACGCCAGGGGGCGGGTCAGGGTACAGAGACCAGAATTCCCATCTGCACATCTGTTAACGGAGGAAAATAAAGTGGACACGCTCCATAGCAGTCCATGTTCAGCTAATTACGTAGGGATTTTTAGTTCTCTAAGCTCGTGAGTTAGGCTGCTGCTGCCAGAATTGCTGCATTAATTCTGACAGGGCCCAGGCTGCAGCACAGAGACTGTTCTCGCATTGCTGTGCGCACTCAGTGGGGGCCCGCCAGAGTGACGTGTCAGTCTCACAGGGTAATGCGTAATACACTGGCATTAGTGATTTTGTTAACATTTTAAAATATATTTTACTGATTTCAGAGGGAGAGAGAGAGAAACACTGATAAGAGAGACACATCGATGGCTTCCTCCTGCAAGTGCCCTGGCCGGGAGTCGAATCGTGACCGCCTGGTTCACAGGCTGATGCTCAACCACTGAGCCACGCCGGCTGGGCCTATTTTGTTGATGTTTAGTAAAATGTGACACATTTCAAATACCCTTAAATGTACAGATTAATCTAAAGGGAGACATTTCAGCTAACGCTGTTCTCTTATTGTTAACAGAATATCCAAGGGATCTCCAAGCAGCCAATTCAGATGACCAAGCCTCGGAATTACAAAGGTGAGGCTTCTTCCCACTAGGCTTGGTCTCAGGTAACATCTTTAAAGACCCACCAGCGTCTGGGCTGGCTTCTCTGCTGCTTTCCGAGGTTCTCCTCTGCGAGCAGCCAGGACCTAGCACACCGAGGGCCACCGCACAGCGTACACGCTCTGGAGGCGCTAATTACACAGGAGAGCAGCGCGTGCCTGCCTTCCCGCCGGCTCCCGGAAAGGAAAGCGGCTCCTCGCGGGAGCTCGCTGTGTGCTCCCAGGGATGCTTATGACTGTGTGTGAGCACGCTGCTCAGGGCTCACTGCCACGATGGCTGCGTTGCTAAGACAGGAAAGGTCCACGCGGAACCACGTCGCTCCTGTGGCCCAGCCCCAGAACCCCGCGCTGAGGGCTGCCCGCCCTGGGCTCTGGGACCTTCCGCCGGCAGCTGGGGCGCCAGGAAGCAGCCGTGTGTGTGTGTGTGTGTGTGTGTGTGTGTCTGTGTGTGTGCTGGTCCTCACCTGACGATATTTCTCCACTGATTTTTAGGGAGAGTGGAAGGGAGAGGGAAACACAGAGAGAAGCATCGATGTGAGAGAGACTCATGATTGGTTGCCTCCTGCACTCATGATTGGTTGCCTCCTCATGATTGGTTGGTAGCCCCAACAAGGGAGGAGCCTGCTACTCAGGTACGTGCCCTTGATCGGAATCAAACCTGGGACCCTTTGGTTCGCAGGCCGAGGCTCTCTCCACTGAACCACATCGGCAAGGCTCAGATTGCTCTCCATGGGCCACATATAAGCATCAGTATTGGCCCTTTTCCTCACTGGGAAGTCCAGACGGAACAGGAAATTTTAATAGGATATCGATTTGCTTTCAATAATGATATGAAATCTTTAATTATTATACATTATTAAAAATACTCAAAACCTAGACTCCTTTGACTCTAGAATGATGGTAAATAATGTGTGAGAACGGAGCAGTTCACTGAGTGCCTTGCACCCCGATCCAGGGAAGGAAGAGGTCGCCCTCACCATCGCCCCGAGGACCATGCTGGTCTCCGCCAGTGGCCACTCCTTCCTGGCGGCAGGTAGGAGACCAGGCGGAGGGCTGCGGCCACTGTAGCTCACCCTGTGCCATTACACAGTTAAAATGTTTAGAAATTGAACAATTCAAAGGTACTTCTAAAACTCATTCTTTATATATATATATATATATATATATATATATATATATATATATATTTATCTTTTTATTTCAGAGAGGAAGGCAGAGGGAGAGAGAAACACCAATGATGAGAATCATTGATTCGCTGCCTCCTGACGCCCCCCACTGGGGATGGAGCCCACATCCGGGCATGTGCCCTGACCAGGAATCCAAACGTGACTCCTGGTTCCTAGATCGACAGTCAACAGTCAACCACTGAGCCCAGCCTGCTGGGCTGACACTCATTCTTTAACATAAACCCTCAGGCAAATGCTCACAGGAAGCAAGGGTTTGTTTTTATTAAAATATATTTTATTGATTTTTTACAGAGAGGAAGAGAGAGAGATAGAGAGTTAGAAACATCAATGAGAGAGAATCATCAATCAGCTGCCTCTTGCACACCCCCTACTGGGGATGTGCCCGCAACCAAGGTACATGCCCTTGACCGGATTCGAACCTGGGACCTTTCAGTCCACAGGCTGATGCTCTGTCCACTGAGCCACACCCGTTTCCTCGGAAGCAAGGATTTCTTACGCACAGTAGATGGGTTTGCTCCCAGGGCCCTCACGGCACCTATCTGGGTCTCCCACAGCCTCCAGGCCCCCACTGCCGCCCCTCCTCTCTGTGCTGATGTTTCTGCCACGCGGCCGCTCGGTGGTCCTCCACCCAAACCCTGGTCCCCTCGTGCCTCTGCTCCCTCCTCGGCCCGTGCCTGTGCTCAGGCCCCTGTCCGTGAGGTGCCCGCTGACCGCCTCCTACAGCAGCCTCTCCCTCTCCCCCACCGCTGCCTTTCCCTCGCCCAGGCACACCCACCCCCTGCGGAAGGAGCCGGTCTGTGCTGGTCACAGCGCCTCCGAGGCGCCCAGCCCTGCACACAGTGGGCCCTTTCTGAAATTCTCGTGTTCAGAATGGCGGGTGGGTGAGGGCAGCCCACCCTCGCAGGCCTCACAGGGCCGGCCGGGGAGGGGTCCCTGATGGCGAGGGGGTGAGGCTGGGCGGGGCCGCACGCGGAGGGCCGGGCTGACCCAGAGCGCTTTCCCACAGACTTCGCGCAGATCGAGTTGCGCATTCTTGCCCACTTATCTGGGGACCCAGGACTCCTGACGCTGTTCCAGGCCCCCGAGGGGGACGACGTGTTCTCCGCCCTGACGGCCCGGTGGTAAGAGACGGGAGCTCCCATGGTATCAGATCCGCAGGAATGCCCGTGTGGCAAAGCCTGAGCTGTTCCGAGGCTATTTTCATAAGAAATTATCTTTTTCTCTAGTGGCTGGTCTTGAAAAGAAGGGTAGATAACTAGGATGCCAAGAGTTTCCTAACTGTGAAAACCGATAACTCTTTGCTGCTAAAAGAGAAGGTGATTGCTAAAGAATGCAATCCAAATGCTGGGAAAATTAGACACGCAAGTCACAGTTTCCCTCCAGATGAGTGGTAGCGGCAGAGCACAGAGCCTGCTGATTACTGCTGCCCCAACCCCACCGAGGTCCCACCTCCACCGAGGGCCCAGCACGCCGTCTGCCTGTGACAGACCCTGTCCCACCCCACCCAGGGGTCCAGCACACCGTCTGCCTGTGACAGACCCTGTCCCACCCTCACCGAGGGCCCAGCACGCCGTCTCCCTGTGACAGACCCTGTCCCACCCTCACCGAGGGCCCAGCACGCCGTCTGCCTGTGACACTCCACCCACCGAGGGCCCAGCACGCTGTCTGCCTGTGACAGACCCTGTCCCACCCCACCCAGGGGCCCAGCACACCGTCGGCCTGTGACAGACCCTGCCCCCCGCCCCGTGACTCACTCTAGAGAATGTCAGAGGCAGATGGCCTGGGGTTTTGTTGGGCGCTCGGCAGTGGCACCCATCGCCTGTGCTTTCTGGGTCGATATCACGGGGATGCTCTTGGGTGTGGAATGCCTGCTGCCTGGCTCCGCATGGAGCTGCAGGCTCCTCCCACCTCCGCCCTCTGGGCAGGAGGGTAAGACCTGCCCCAGCGCCCACCCACAGCACTCACTTCCCAGAGCCGGCTGTCAGCTGACATAGCTGCAAGAGAGGCTGGTAGGAATGCTCCAGCACAGAGAGCTCAGCATCACTTCTCACCATGCAGGCACATCACTGCCTGCACAGTCAGGCTCTGCTCCAGGAAGCAGAGGGCCACGCAGGCCGGTCCCTCCTCAGCAGCTGCAGGCGCCCCTCCCTCGTCCTCCCGCCTCCTGCTCCCTCTGTGGGGCTCTGCACCCCCTTCCCACCTTCTCCTCACCCCTCACCTGCAAGGTCGCTCGAGACAAAGCTCCAGGAGGCTGTCCTTTACTCTCAAGCCTGCACTTCCTCCGTGCACTCTCCTGTCACTGTCACCGTCTATGGAGGCTGTGGGCCCTGTGAGGCAGGGCACGCCCCCTCTGGCCAGTCTGCCTCTCACTGCCTCCCTCCCTCTCAGCCACTGGCTGACCCAGGCCCATGCCCACTCAGCCCCTCCTGGCCCCCCGCCCAGGGTTTGGGAAGCTTTCCCGGAACGTCTGTGTGGCTCAGCTCTCGCCGAGCCAGTGGCCTTTGGTGTACTCACAAGGTGCTGCAGCGGCACCACCGTCGTATTCTAGAACATTTCCACCCCCAGAGAGGGCCCAGGCCCAGCAGCCATCACTGGGCTGTGCCACCGAGAGCAGAGGGCCCGGGAGGGACGCGTCCTGCCACCTGGGCACAGGAAGGGCTGGGGAGCTGGGCTCTGGGACACCCCTGGACCTGCTGGTGCCCGTGGGCCTCACCCTGTTGAAGCTGGTGGACACCAGAGCCGTCGGGGAGTCCAGTCCCCAGGACCGGGCACCACAGGGGTCAGGCAGAACGGGGGACTCCGCACAGGGACCCACTGGGAAAGAGGTTGGCCTGGGACCCCAGCACCACCCGCCTCATTTGATGGAGCCCGACCGGGGAGCGAGGCGTGCCCGGGGAGGAGACGGTGGTCAGGCCGGGTCTCCCGGGGGCTGGAGGTGCCAGGGCTGTAGTGCCAGGCTGAGCCCGAAAGGCGCTGGGCGGTGTTTCCCAGGCGGCCTTCCGGGGGCTCCTGGCCCCGCGCCCACGCGGGCCACCCTGGGTGCAGAGGCGCCAGCACCTCCTGGCAGGGAAGCTCGCTGGTGGGTTCTAGGGGCCCGGGGCCCGCAGGGCTGCCTGGCTGCGACCCCGGCCTCAGGGGAGAGGCATGCAGTCCCTGCGAGAGGAGAGCACCACGGGCCGCGGGTCCCCCCTGAGTCCTCGTGTGAGAGGAAGGCCTGCGTTCCCGCCCGGGGGTGCAGCGGCAGCGCAGGCCCCCGCCGTCCAGCCCACGGAGCTGGGGACGGGCCCTTCAGCCGCCGCTGCTGAGCCGCCCTCACTGTCTGAGGCTTCAGCCCTCCCTGGGGAGGTCAGGCAGCGGCTGCTGGGGCCTGCGGGGGGCGGGTGTGTGTGTGTGTGTGTGTGTGTGTGTGTGTGTGTGTGTGTGCAGGAGCAGCCCTGCCCGCTCCCTGTGAGCGCCTGGTGGTTTGGGGGTGACCCTCTGCCTCGGAAGCTCCGTCTGAGGGCTCGGGGTGAGCCGGACACTGCAGAGGACTGTCCCCCTGCATGAGGGCGGCTGCGCAGTGGAGGCCTCCAGAGAAAGACCACGAGGGGGCCTCTCAGCCCCACGGAGACGGGGCGGGGCGCCAGGGCCTGACGGCGGCCCTCTTCCCACAGGAAGGACATCCCCACAGAGCGCGTGACGCACGCAGACAGGGAGCAGACCAAGAGGGTGGTGTACGCAGTGGTGTACGGAGCAGGTAGGCGCGGCTGGCTCCTGGCTGCATCCTGACGCGGCCCTGCCCTCGAGGAGCCCTCCTCGGCGCAGGCTGAGTGAGCGGGTCCCTCTGGTTCGCACAGACACTCCCAGTGCAGCTCCTGGTGCTGCCCGGCCTTCTGGACGAGAGACAGGCCCAGCGTGAGGATGCCGGTCCCACGTGAGGGCCGCCGTGGGCCTTGGGGGACCCACTGTGACGGGCGTGTGCCTGCCTCCAGAGACCCCAGGCTCTGCCGCTCTGCCCCACAGTGTCCACAGAGCCCCCACTTCTCAGATCCCCGCCCCGCCGTCTCCCTCTCGGCCGGCCTTGAGCAGCGTGACTGCCCACTTGTCTCCGTGTCTGTGGGGGAGGAGCATGGCTGGGTGTCCCGGGGCCCTGGTCTACGCAGAGGCTGGACAGGGAGCACTTGGCAGCTTCCCTTTCTTGCCGGCTCTGAGCTCTGAGGGACAGCCTCAGCGCTCACCACGTGGGCTTGCCAACCTTGGCAGAGTCTGCACCGAGGGGGCTTGACTGAGGAGGCAGCGAGAGAGGAAGAGATGCCAGCAAGGCGGCAGTATGGGTGGCTACGACTCGGGTAGAAATCCACAGTCTAACCAGCTGAGGAGCCAGAGTCAGGTTGGAGCAACCAGGGAATCTGGAAAGTGAAGGGAAAGCCAAGGAAGAACTCTGAGTGTGAACTCTGCCCATATCTCTAGCTGACGCCTAAATATTCACACCAAACAACCCAGCCAAGGCTGGAAGGAATGGGATGAGGTTTTAGCTGCTGCCAAATGCAGAGGGGACAAAGTTTAAAGTTTAACTTTAGCCAAATTAACTGCCCCCCTTTAAAAAAAAATCAGTGCTCCTGAGAAAAACATAGAATTCAGAGTGTCTACAACATATCAGTCACAATTTCCAGGATACAATCCAAAATTACTAAACATGAAAAAGCAGTGTAACTTGATCCATAGTCAAGAGAAAAGGCAATCATGGAGTCAGATTCTGAGATGACCCAGATGTTGGAATTAGCAGACAAGGATTTTAAAGCCACTATTATAACTGTGCTCAAGGATGTAAAGGAAAATATACTCATAATGAATGAAAATTAGGGAATCTCAGAAAATCAAAAGAACCAAGTGGAAATTCTAACACTGAAAACTGCAATATCAGAAACAAAACATTCACTGACTGGGCTTAACAGAAGGTTAGATATGAGGAGGGTCTTGGCTGAGGCAGACTCCAGGCCCACGTGGCCAGATGCGCCAAAAGCATCTAGCCACCACCCGATTCCGGTCAGAAAGCCAGTGCAGTTTTCCATTGCAGAGCCATGGCCAAGGCGCAGTGGTTAGAACGTCAAAGAAACAGTTATAGATGGATTAGCTAGCTAGCTAGCTAGCTATCTAAAAAACAAAACAAAAAACCCTTAAAAAATAAAATTTAAAATAATAATAAAAAATAAATAAATAAATAAATAAATAAATAAAAACCATGGCCATAACGCTGTAACGACCAATCAGCCAGTCACCAGGAGGTGCACTGATGGGCCTCACCAGTGTGGCAGGTCTGAGGTCCAACCTTGCGCTGCTGTTCTAGGATCCCGCCCCTGCGGCAGCGCCAGGGAAGCCCGGGTCCTGCCAGCGTGGCGGGTCTGGGGTCTCCTGGGCCCATGTCATCCTAGCTTGGCCATGGAGCTCCCTCCTCCTCCTCCTCCTCCTCCTCCTTCTCCTCTTTCTCCTCCTCCTCCTCCTTCTCCTCTCCTGCACCTGTCTCATCAACCAGGACTGCTGAGAAAATGCATGTTTATCAGGCCCCAGTCATGGGACCAGCCCTCGCACTCAGCTGGAAAGCCAGTGCCAGCACCATCCTGACCAAGAAGAGACCAACGGTACCCGGTCAGCATGGCTCAGTGGTTGAGCATCAACCTATGAACCGGGAAGTTATGGTTCAGTTCCCAGTCAGTTCCCGGGTTGTGGGGCTCAGTCCTCAGTGTGGAGTGTGCAGGAGGCAGCTGATGAATGATTCTCTCTCCCTCTCCCTTCCTCTCTGACATCAATAAACACATTTATATCTAAAAAAAGGAAGAGACCATGGTGCCAACTGGACCTCAATTCACGCGTCTCCCGAGAGCCCTCCCGTTCTCTCACTCGTGCGCGTGACAGGCACTGGCTGCCTCGTGGCTCGCGCTCTGTCCCCATGCGAGTGGCTGCCTCTGACCCCGGTGTTCCTGCCCCTGACCCCGGTGTTCCTGCCCCTGACCCCGGTGTTCCTGCCCCTGACCCCGGTGTTCCTGCCCCTGACCCCGGTGTTCCTGCCCCTGACCCCGGTGTTCCTGCCTCTGACCCCGGTGTTGGTGCCTCTGACCCCGGTGTTCCCGCCCCTGACCCCGGTGTTCCCGCCCCTGACCCCGGTGTTCCCGCCCCTGACCCCGGTGTTCCCGCCCCTGACCCCGGTGTTCCCGCCCCTGACCCCGGTGTTCCCGCCCCTGACCCCGGTGTTCCCGCCCCTGACCCCGGTGTTCCCGCCCCTGACCCCGGTGTTCCCGCCCCTGACCCCGGTGTTCCTGCCTCTGACCCCGGTGTTCCTGCCTCTGACCCCGGTGTTCCCGCCCCTGACACTGGTGTTCCCGCCCCTGACCCCGGTGTTCGTGCCTCTGACCCCGGTGTTCCTGCCCCTGACCCCGGTGTTCGTGCCTCTGACCCCGGTGTTCCTGCCCCTGACCCCGGTGTTCCTGCCCCTGACCCCGGTGTTCCTGCCCCTGACCCCGGTGTTCCTGCCTCTGACACTGGTGTTCCTGCTCCCACAGGGAAGGAGCGACTCGCTGCCTGTCTTGGAGTTCCTGTTCCGGAAGCCGCCCGCTTTTTGGAGAGTTTCTTGCAGAAGTATCAGAAAATCAAGGACTTTGCCCAAGCAACCATTGCCCAGTGTCACCAGACAGGTGAGCCCGTCGCAGGCAGAGCCACGGGCCGGCCCCTGCCCTGCCTCCCCTGACCAGCAGCAGCTGGTGGTCCCTGGGCCCTGCTCCCAGGTGGGAGGTGACAGACAGCCCGTGGGGCTGGTGGGTGGAGCCTGAGCGGAGGGGCCCTGGGGGAGCCCAGCCCTGCTCTATAAATGGGACCAAAAGGCTCCGCCCTACAATGGTCCTGGGCCAGGCTCTGCCTGAGGCACCAAACGGACCAGCTTCCGTTAGACACAGTCCTGGGAGACAGAGGAGTGACCTCCGGCACTAAAGATGGAGAGGGAACATCGTCTATGAAAAATGCGTGTGCGTCCATAAAGTGTCACCGTCATCTGGTCACAGATTTCACAGTGGCCGTGTGGGATGGAAAGTAGTCTCATACTGCCTGTCAGCGTGGCACGTGTCCGCCCGGGGTTAGCAAAGGAGCCCCCACTACTGACACGTTTCAGAAGCGAACGGCCGTGGAAGAGTCTCACGGGAACACAGGCCCCGCCCAGCTGGGGTGCCATGCAGAGTGAAGAAATATTAGAGTATTTTTTTAATATATTTTATTGATTTTTTTCAGAGAGGAAGGGAGAGGGATAGAGAGTTAGAAACATTGATGAGAGAGAAACATCGATCAGCTGCCTCCTGTACACTGGGGATGTGCCGACAACCAAGGTCCATGCCCTTGACCGGAATCAAACCAGGACCTTTCAGTCCGCAGGCTGACGCTCTATCCACCGAGCCAAACCGGTTTCAGCTAGAAAGAGTACCTTAACGAGGAAAGTGCAAATACAAATGGTTTGTATCCAACACAAGACCTTTGGGAAAGAACAGCGAGGGAATGAGAGGAAGAGGGAGGAATGTGAGGGCAGAAATCACGGCCGGACACAGAGGCGGCAGAGGGCTACGGAGGAAGCAGCTCAACGCGCACCTCAGGGAGGCGGCCGGCGGGTTCCCGCGGCACTGGGCTCTCCCGCCCGCCCCCCGGGGCTGCTGGGGGCCTCTGAGCCTGTGCCCAGCCCCTCCTGCCAAGGCAGCCCAGCACAGGCTCCCCCGGCCTCGCAGAACGCCGGAGCTTCTGAGGCGTCCAGCAGGGCTGGCCGAGGGCTCCCTGGGCCTGGGGGAGGCCTGCAGCCACTGGTCCTCACCGAGGCCGCCAGCCCTGGCCATCCCTGGGCCCGGAGCCCCACCTGAGAAGAGCAGGGCACTGTAAGCTCAGAAATGGGGACGGAGCGGCATGGAGCCGGACCCCCAGACAGAAACGCGATGTGAACGCGGGAGCCGGCACTGAGATCACTGAGAGCGCTGCAGCTGTGCGGGGGAGCCGCTGTCCCTGCCACAGCTGCCGGAGCCGGAGCCGCAGCCGCCCTTCCTGGGACATAACTGACTCGATGGGCATAGGGCACAGCAGGTCCAATGGGAAGTGCATGTGCCCTTTGACCCAGAGATCACGCTCGGGCAGACAAATAAAAGGTCGTTAAGTCCTTCCACCTGCACCGTCCAGTGCCTGACACCGCTCCTGGGCCTCCAGAGGCGACGGCCCAGCCAGGGAGTTGGAGTGACCGCACCCTGAGGGAGGGTGTGCAATGCATCACTGGACAGGCGCCAAGCGACGACCACCCTCCTGTGCTGTCCCCACCATGAGCCTGCTGGCCTCGCGGCAGACCGGGTGGACTTGGGATCCCTGGAGGGTCCTGCCGGACCCTGGCCCAAATCCGAGGAGCCGTGCGCACCAGGGCACCACCCTGCCTCTGCTTCTGCCCTCACCCTCCTCCTTCCCCCTGTGGCCCAGGCTACGTGGCGTCCATCATGGGCAGGAGGAGGCTGCTGCCACGGATCCATGCGCAGAACCAGCAGCTCCGGGCACAGGCAGAGCGGCAGGCAGTGAACTTCGTGGTGCAAGGTACCGGAGCCCCGGCTCACCTGCTGGGTCCATGTCTGCCCCACTTTTAACAGCTGTCTGGCCAGTGATCCCACCAGATCACCCACCCACAACCCCCCCCGAAGGCCCAGCACCCACAGCCCAGCACCCACCCACAGCCCCCCAAAGGCCCAGCTCCCACAGCCAGCACCCACCCACAGCCCAGCACCACCCACAGCCTAGCACCCACCCACAGCCCCAGTCCCCACCCACAGCCCCAGACCCCACCCACAGCCCCAGTCCCCACCCACAGCCCAGCACCCACAGCCTAGCATTAACTGCCCCAGCACCCACCCACAGCCCATCACTCACCCACAGCCACAGCACCCATCCCAGCACCCACAGCCCCAGCACCCACAGCCCAGCACCCACAGCCCATCACCCACCCACAGCCACAGCCCCCATCCCAGCACCCACAGCCCCAGCACCCACAGCCCAACACCCACCCACAGCCCAGCACCCACAGCCCCAGCACTAACTGCCCCAGTACCAACTACCCCAGCACCCACCCACAGCCCATCACCCATCCACAGCCCCAGTACCTACACACAGCCCCAGCACCCACCCACAGCCCAGCACCCACAGCCCAGCACCCACACACAGCCCCAGCCCCCACCCACAGCCCAGCCCCGGAGCAGGAGGCAGGCCGGGTGACAGCTCGTTGTTGGCCTCCGGTTATGCAAACTCCTTAGTCACCTCAGCCACAGCGTGCGAATGGCTCCTGCTCGGCAGGAGGTGAGGGAGACGCACACGCGCTGTGAGCTGTCCTCGCATGTCCTCGGGAGCCTGGGATCAGGCTCAGATGGAGGGCGGAGGCCCCAGGCCCAGAGAAGGAGCCTGGAGGATAGATTCCAGCCTCTCCCCCTGCCAGCCCCCCACCCCCTGAGGGCTGTTCCGAGCTAGAGGAGGGCCCAGTGCACCCTACAGAGATCCCGGAGAGGGGGCAGCAGCTGCTGGAGGGCAGCGAGGATCTGCCTGTCCTCATCCTGTCCCCGGCCTGACCCCCGGCAGGACCGAGGATGCTGATGCCTCCCCATCCTGAGGTGGCCCCGATTCCCAGGCAGGTCCTCCTGTATGCGGGAGTGGTCGCGACCCGTTTCCCTGGGCACTGGGTGTGTGCACCAGTGTGCACTAGGTGTGCGCACTAGGTATGGGCAGGGATGTGCACTAGGTGTGTGCACTAGGTGTGTGCACTAGATGTGTCGGGGGATGTGCACTAGGTGTGTTCACTAGGTGTGTGCACGGGTGTGTGCACCACATGTGTGTGCACCACATGTGTGCTGGGGGGCGTACTAGGTGTGTGCACTAGGGGTGTGCACTAGCCACCCGCTGTGCGCCTGGCACTGAGAGGCCTGTGCCCTGTGCTGGCAGGACCTGGCCAGGCCGGACGTGGCGCTGGCTGAGTGAATGCTCACCTGACCACGTGACTCGTCTCCCCCACACCCGTGCAGAGCTGAGTCATCAACTTGAAGCCCTACGAATGGCAGGCATGGGAACGGGCAGAGCCACACGGCGCAGTTCCTGGAAGGTCCCTGCGAGCTGGGGTGATGGGATTCTGGAGTCCGTGCCCACGTGCGGCAGGACCCGTGCGCACGCTGAGACGTCACACTGCTCAGGCCGTGCTGCGTGGAGGGGGTTTGCGGACCTGAGGAAGGCCATCACCAGTTGCCTTCATGGGAGGCGGTTGTCCGTGGGCCTGACCTCCTCAGGTGGCCTAGACAGGACATGAGGTCAGGGCTGGAGACCGGCAGGCGCGGTGCCTCCTGCTGGCCTAAAGGAGCAAACTGTGCTGGGCGCCCCCCACTGAGCCAGGGGCCAGCAGCCGGCATGGAACTGGGCCTCGGTCACTCGGCTGCAGGGACGTGAATTTCTCCCACCGCCTGAGGTCCCATGGATGCGGGTCTCCCCTCGCCCGGCAACCAGAGGGGGGCACGGCGAGTCTCACTGGTCTCAGCTTGATGGCACCCGTGGGGCGCCTGACACGCAGGAGCAGGAGGTGGTGGGCCGTGCAGGGCAGCCCGCTGGCCAGGCCTAGGCCTCCTGTTGTTGAACCTCTGTGCCTGCAGGCTCGGCCGCAGACCTCTGCAAGATGGCCATGATCCACATCTTCGCTGCAGTGGCCGCGTCCCCCACCCTGACGGCCAGGTCAGTGAGTGAGCTTGGCCCTCAGGGCCCAGGGCGGGGGCGGGGGCACTGCCCTCAGGCTGGCCGGCAAGCACACAACCAGCTCCCGTCCACCCCTGCGTCTGAGTCACCTCCCAGCCACGAGCCTCCCTCGAGTCTCCTCTCAGCTCCCCTGGGAGGGTCCTCAGAGCCGAGTGCCAGGGCAGCAGGGCGTTCGGGCGCCCGGACGCTCCTCTGCTCACCCCAGGGCAGCCCCTCCCCTCCGGTGCCTCCCGTGCAGCAGCCAGCGGCACCTGTGGCTCTCTCCGCCCCCGAGGGGCAGAGCCGGTGCCTGGGGCCCAGGAGGGGCAGTAAGAGTGCCTCTGAGGCCTGCGGGGGGCAGGGAGGCTGAGGGCGGGGCCCTGCCCTCCCAGAGGGACGGGCAAAGGGCGGAGAGGCCGCCGCAGCTCCCGCCGCTCGGGTGGACAGGGGCCGCAGTGGGACTCGCAGCGGGTGCAGGCCGAGAGAGCTCAGAGCTCCGTCCCCGCTGGAGCCTGTCCTCACAGAGGGAGCCACTCGGCAGTCGGCTGCCTCGGGACACAGCGACTGTCGAGTGACGCCCACACCGCAAGCACTTCGCACTCTCCTGCGTCCGGCTCCTTAGAAACACGGGATCTGGGGCCGGAGAGTCCGTGGAGTGACTAACCGTCCGTGACTCCTCCCTGTCAGGACGCAGTGTCCCCTGGAAGGGTGAGCGCCACGGCTCAGAGTAAGGCCCGTGGCCAGCAGTGCCCGTGAGCTCAAAGCTCATCAGAAGGCGAGACACACTGCCCGCCTGGCTGACGGCAGGCGGTGCCCACACCGATCGGAGGCTGCACGTAAACCCGTCAGAGCCTGGCTCCCCAGGGGCTCAGCGGCTCTTCTGCAGCTGCCTGGACTGCCCCCCGCTGCGCCCCCTCCTCCCGGGAGGCCATCCCCTGACCACGAGGCGACCCCTCCTCGCTGGGCCCCTCCGCTCCGACACCGAGCCACCATGTGCTGCACACACGCCCCCGATGGCGCCACCGCTGGGTCCTGACTGACCAGGGGCCTCACAGCTGCCCCCCGGGCTGTGTTTCAGGCTGGTGGCCCAGATCCACGACGAGCTGCTGTTTGAGGTGGAAGATGCACAGGTGCCCGAGTGCGCAGGTGAGCGGGCAGGCCCTCCCCGCCTCACACTGCTGTCACCTGCACCTGGCCACAGCCCCACGGACACGTGCTCCCTGTGGGCCGTGCTCCCCGTGTGCTCTGTGCTCCCCGTGGGCCGTGCTCCCCGTGTGCTCTGTGCTCCTGTGGGCCGTGCTCCCCGTGTGCTCTGTGCTCCCCGTGTGCTCTGTGCTCCCCGTGGGCCCCGTGGGCCGTGCTCCCCGTGTGCTCTGTGCTCCCCGTGTGCTCTGTGCTCCCCGTGGGCCGTGCTCCCCATGTGCTCTGTGCTCCCCGTGTGCTCTGTGCTCCCCGTGGGCCCCTGGGCCGTGCTCCCCGTGTGCTCTGTGCTCCCCGTGGGCCCCGTGGGCCGTGCTCCCCATGTGCTCTGTGCTCCCCGTGTGCTCTGTGCTCCCCGTGGGCCGTGCTCCCCGTGTGCTCTGTGCTCCTGTGGGCCGTGCTCCCCGTGTGCTCTGTGCTCCCCGTGTGCTCCTGTGGGCCGTGCTCCCCGTGTGCTCTGTGCTCCCCGTGTGCTCTGTGCTCCCCGTGTGCTCTGTGGGCCCCGTGGGCCGTGCTCCCCGTGTGCTCTGTGCTCCCCATGGGCCGTGCTCCCCGTGTGCTCTGTGCTCCCCGTGGGCCCCGTGGGCCGTGCTCCCCGTGTGCTCTGTGCTCCCCGTGGGCCCCGTGGGCTGTGCTCCTTGTGTGCTCTGTGCTCCCCATGGGCCCCGTGGGCCGTGCTCCCCGTGGGCTGTGCTCCCCGTGGGCCGTGCTCAGCCACGGGCCCTGGGAAGATGGGGCATCGGCCTCCCAGGCCAGGGAGCGGGCTGGGTGCTGCGGGCTAACGGCCAAGCACCCGCAGGGTCCCGGAGAAATCCAGGTGCCTCCCTCGCTGGCTGGGTAGGGGCAGGGCTCCCGCTCCGAACTCACTGTGGTAGACAGAGGACAGGTCTGTCCAGACTTGGGGGGTGGGATGGGTCCTCCCTGTTAGAGAGGCAGCTCGCTCTGGGGACCCTCCCTCCAGGCTGAGCACACCCCAGGGTGACAGCACCCCATGGAGCGGCCCTGCAGGCTCCACCTGCAGGCAGCTGGGCCCACGGGTTCCTGCCCCCGCTCCTCCCTCCCAGAGGCTCGGACGGAGCTGCAGGCCTGGCCTGATCCCTGCCCGACCCTGCCAGCACCTGAGGGCGGAGGGAGGCCCGGCTGGGGAGCCTGTGTTCCAGCCCCCTTCTCTCTCTCCTAGCTCTGGTGCAGGGAGCCATGGAGGCCCTGCAGCACGTGAGGGCGCTGGAGCTGCAGCTGCAGGTGAGGGCAGCGGGCTGCTGTGGCAGCAGCGCGGTCAGACCTCCTCCCAGGGCCCCCTGCCTCAGGTGCACCAGGCTGCTGGTCACCCTCAGAGGGCTCCCCAAGGCAGGGGAAGGGAGGGATAAGGAAGGGGTGGGAGTCCCCGAAGCTTGTGCAGGTCGCCATGCCCGTCGGTCCCGGTCCCTGTCCCTGTCCCTCCAAGGGAGTCTCCAGCCACCAGGTCCCCAGCAGCCTCCACCTTCCTCCTGGGGTTGTGGCCACACTGTGTGCCCTGAGGGCCCCTGCACAGCCCCCACGCCCCCAGGCAGTGCTGGATGGGTGAAGGAGCACGGCTGGGCCGGCCAGGGTCTGGGTCCGGGGGTCCACGCTTGCTCCTGCAGCACCTGGAGACATGGGGCTTCCCTCCCTGGAGGCCGGAGCCCAGTAGTCCCGCAGGTGGCAGGGCTGCGGCTGTGGGGGCCCTTCCTCACCCCATCCAGAGGGGCTGTTGAGCTGTGGTCCAGGATCAAGGCCCCGGGAGGGCTCTCCCGGACCCCTGGCACCTCCTAGGGCCCCGAGGTGGCCAGCCCTGCGCCTGGCCTGGCCCTGCCCTGCAGGCAGCTCAGGTGGCAGACGTGGCCCACAGGGAGGTGCTCTGCCCGGGGTGTGAGCGTGAGCCTTGTCCCGGAATGTGCGTCCCGTGTATCCGTGGGCGAGTTGGGCGTGGCTGCCCTGCTCTGTGGCCGTCCCCGGGTGGGGGCCTGGGAGGGGGCGGCAAGCTGGCCAGACCTGCACTCACCCCTGCCGCCACCCACAGGTGCCCCTGAAGGTGAGCCTGAGCACCGGCCGCTCCTGGGGACACCTGGTGCCACTGCAGGAGGCCCCGCCTCGGCCACGCCCCTGTCCTGCCATGTCTCCACGCAACCGCCTGGCCAGGCCGCACCTGCCTGCTTCCCCTGCACTCCCTCCGTAGCCTGGCAACAGCCAGGACCAACCAGCTCCCCAGCCCCGGTGGCCTCCCCAAGGTCAGGGCTGGCGTCTGTACCGGCTGGTGGCTGGAGCAGGACGTGGCCCGGAATGCACCCTCTGCATCCTCACCGAGTAAACGCTGTCCACAAGCTGTCCTCGTCCCTGTCCCGATTCTTCCCGTGGGGGAAGTGCAGGGCCAGGGCTGAGCGCCCCACGGAGCTGCCGGCCGGTCCCCACGAGCGCGGCCGGTGACCAGCCTGGGAGCAGCGGGCTCCCTGCTAGGCGTTCCCAGACCCCCGTGCACCCAAACCACGCCCGCCCCGCAGGGAAGCCGAGGCCCCGGGGGCTCCGTCACCGCAGTGTACGCGTGGCCGCTTCCATGGGCCTCGGGAGTGCGCCGGGCCAGCCTCCCACAGCTGCCGAGTCTGCACCCGGGCTCCGCCTGGGCCCGGGCGCCTGTCGGGCGGGGAGCAGGTTGATGGGCCCACTGGGACGGGACGGGACAGGACGCGCCACGTGCTCTGGGAGGCCCGGCCACAGTTCCCGCCAGCCCGCCTCTCGCTCCCAGGCCGAGCCCGCAGCCAGCTTCGCACGCCAGCGTCTTTACTGCACCCTCCCTCCGAGCACGCCCTCTGGGGATCCACGGGGCACCTGGCCCAAACACACGAGCAGCCTCACTGCCCGGCAGCTTGGCTGTGTGCCCGCCACTCCAGGCCCCCACACCGGCTAACAGGCTCCGGGGAAGGCACCCCGCGGCCCCCTCTGAGGGCAGCCACTTGGGGAAGGCAGGGCAGAAGCCCCTGGGGCGCTGTCTGGGGCGGGGCTGGCCAGGTCCACCCTGAACCGCTCCTCACTCTCATCACCACCTGGACCCCCAGCCCCTCCTGTCCCCCTTCCACACCAGGCCCCTCCACCCCGGGCCTTCAGGGAGTGCCCCGCGGAGGGTGCAGACAGGGACAGGGCGTCCAGCCCACAGACCCCCACCCCGAAACCAGCCCTTCCCCCGTGCCGGGCTGGGCCGCCTCAAGAAAGCACGGAGGCCGGTTCCTTCAGCTCTGGTTTTATTGGGAAACAGCAGCATCGGGCGCGCAGGTGGAGGCCACCCCACGCCCCTCCTGCTGCTCCCCGCACAGGAGGGGCCCTGCCCGGGCCTAAGCCTGTCCTCTGAGCTCACTCGCTGCTGCCCCGGGCCCTCCTGGGGTGGTTTGGCACATCCTGGGTCTCAGGAGCCGCCCTGCCGAGGGCTCACACGGAACCGGCACCGCGCCAGGCTCCGGGCCAGCATGGCCGACAGCCTGGAGACGTGGCTCCTGCCACCAGGTCTGACCTCGGCCATCCTCCCCACATGCCCAGAACCAGCAAAGCCTCCTCTGGGTCATGCCACCCATGCCCAGCGCCCAGCACCCTCCACTGGGAAGGAGTGCCCATTCACAGGTCCGGGCCCCGCAGGCCCAGCATGGCCCCTCCGGCCTCCCTCCCCAGGCCCCTCCGCCGCCATGCTCGTGTGCACATGCAGCACACCCTCCAGCAGGGCGCGAACTGCTGTTTAAACACCCCCCGCAGTGCTGGCTGGCCCAGGGCACAGGCCACACCACCCCTCCCAGGCTGCCTTCCCAGCCCGGACCTGACCCTCAGCCTCCAGGGAAGGCCTGGCACAGAGCACGGCTCAGGGCCAGAACTGACTCAGTCACTACAAACCAACGAGGCAGTGCCACCCGCCCGGCTGGACACAGATAGGAAGGGGCTCCGGCCCCAAGCAGCCTGCCCATGGGCCGCCCCACAGGCACCAGGATGGCGAACGTGCCCAGAGCCAGAGCCAGCTCCCCGGCCCGGCGCCTGCAGAGGCCTCCGGGCACCCGCCGCCTCCAAGGCCTCTTGGAGGAAAGACCGCAGGCTGGAAGGGCCACCGAGGACCCCGGGCCTCAGGCCACCAGCTTCCCTCGGGGCAGGCCTCGCCCCCAGGCGGCCATCCCTGTCCCTGCCCGCTCCCCTGCAGCACTGGGCGGCCACGCGGCCACGGGGTGAAACCCGAGTCCCTCCCACCCCTCCGTGGCCCCTCAGCACCTACAGACCGCGCCCGACCAGGGGCCCGTGGCAGCAGAGCGGCCCTGGGGACACCACCGGCCACAGGCCAAGACCGGGGGCACCAGGCCCGGCCCAGGCAGCCCCCGCCTGGAGCTGCCCAGCTAACGAACATTCCGGAACACGCCCCCTCCTGCTCGCGGCTCCCAGTTCCCTGACCCCCGAGCCTCACGGGGAACCCCCAGGGAGGACGGGCCCCGCAGCGAGGGAGGAGGGCCCAGGCTGCCAGCCCGGAGGAGCTGGAGACATCGCTGAGCGGCCGCGGGGAGGGGAGGGCGCTGCAGAGGCAGAAGAGGTCACGTTCTGGAGCAGTGAGCGCCCGGCTGGCAGGCAGCTGCAGCTGGCAGCCCCTGCGGGGGTCCTGCTCCACCAGGGGCTGCTGGGGTCTGCCCGTGGATCTCGGGATCTGCCAAGCGGCCCTGCCCTGGTGAGGGCCTGTCCCTGTGCAGGCTAGGCACCGGGGTTCCAGACACAGCCTCCCCCCCTTCCTGGCAGCACCAAAGGGCAACAAGTCAAGAGTCCTGGTGCGGCCACCCACTGTGGGCCTCGGGCCAGGTCCCTCTGGGACCAGCCAGACTGACGGCCCGGGCTCGCCGCCCGGCCGGGCACAGCAGCCCCTCCCTCCACCCCAGGGACAGAGGCCGGGAGGCACAGGGTCAGAGCTCGGGGCCCGACCGCCACCTGCCCTCCGCCCACCGGGCCCCACGGCCACGGAGGCGGCCCCGCGCCGGAACCCAGCCAAACAAAGGAGAAAGGCACAGCTTTTCCATTTTGCTAAAACACTTTACGTCTGTCTGTATAATCCAGGTTAACAAAATCTGAGCTGCAAGAAAATAGGGTGCCGATTTCTGTACAGTCTACAAAACCCCACCCCAAGCGGGGCTGGCCTCCGGGGTCTGTACAGGGCTCTGCGAACGCCTCGCCCAGCACGCGGCTCGGCGAGACCGGGCTGGGTGCTCGCTCGCTCCCTTCCGAGGCCCCTTTAGAGTGTCCCTCCCTCCAAGCCCCCATGAAGGGGTCTCAGTGGCAGGTCCCGGCTTGCAGCTGGACACGCGGCCACTGCCGACCACCTGCTCGTCCCCGCCCGGACCACCCTGCCAGAGGCCCGGCCCCCCCTCAGGAGGCCGAGCAGCATCAGCCCCCAGCCACGCTGGACGAGGGCCCCATTCCCTCCCAAAGGCAGCGGCCCCTCCGAGCTGCGCGGGGCCTCAGCCTCCTCACAAGCCGGGAACGCTCTTCGGGGGAAAGCGACGCTAAGTCAGGACCTCCCTCCAGATCCCACACTTTGAAACCCCCCGCCCACCCGGACCAAACTGGGCAGGAAGTGACCTGTTCCAGCCACACAGGTGTGCATGTGCGAGGGCATCCACTGCCGTTCTGTCCAGGATTACAGCATGCAGAGTGCTATTCTGTCTAAGGAACTGAGTAAAAAGCAGGTCGGTGCCAGGCGGGGGCAGCTGTGGGCTGTGGTGGTGGCAGCAGCTGGGCAGTATTCACAGGGCAGGCTGAGGCCAGGTGGGTGTGGGGAAAAGAGAAGGGGAGGACAGGGGGCGGCCTCCCCACCCTGCTCCCCTGCAGGGCTCTGACCCAGGCTGTGCAGTCGGTTGCTATGGGAACCACACCGGGTGATGACGCCAATCAGCAAAGCCTGGGCAGGGGAGGGGTGGGGACCACGGGGAAGGCGACCGGGTGTCAAAGCAAAGCGGAACCAGATGAAGCGGGGCTCTTGGGACGGGCCTCCCGCAAGCAGGTGGCTCCCGGGCTGGCTCGGGGCGGGCAGGGACGCTCCTCAGTCTGGGCCCCACGGGCGGGCGGGCAGCGGGCGGAGCTGTGGGCATGCGGCATGCTGCGGGCAGCCACGTGCTCAGCATGCACAGAGCGGGCCCGAGGGGCAGTGGCCACCAGCCCGGCAGGCCACGCCTCCTGGGGACCCACGGCCGAGCCAGAGCCGGGCCAGCGGCCAGCCATCTGCTGGGCCAGGGCCTCACTGCAGAGGTTCTGTGCTTGGTGGGCAAGGCTGGGCCCGGGCCGGCGGCTGTGGGCCAGGGGCCCCGCCCCCCAGGGCCGGGCGGCTGCGGGGGCCTGCGGTGGTCCATGCTGTCACTCTTCAGGGCGCAGTCCCAGCAGGCTGGGCAGGCAGGGGGCCGTGGCTGCAAACGCCCCACCCCCCAAAGTGTCACGGATGAGCAATAGCCCCGCCCCCCAGGAACCAGCCAGAGAACCACGCGATGTTGAAGAAGGAAAAGCCCCACGGAAACGCCAAGGCGCGGTCGGAAAGCAGGCCCGGGCGGGGGCGGCGGGGGCGGGCGCGGGCGGCGGGCAGCGGTCACTCCTCGCGCAGCTGCAGGCGGTAGCGGTGGTAGCGGACCTGGAAGAAGAGGCGCTCGGCCAGCGAGAGGGTCATGCCGGGCAGCACGTAGTGGTCGCTGCAGCCCATGTGTCTGAAGCCCAGCGACTCGTAGAGCTTGTGGGCGGCCACCTTGACGGCCGTCGTGCCCAGCACCACGGCGGAGTAGTTGTGCACCACGGCGAACTCCAGCACCTTGCGGCCCAGCGCCTTGGCGATGCCCTTGCCGCGGAAGCGGGAGTCCACGGACATGCGCAGCAGCTCCACGGTGTTGTCCGCCTCGTGGGCCCGCGCCGCCACGATGCCCACCACGTTGCCGTCCAGCACGGCCACCCAGAAGCAGGAGCCTGCGGGGGACGGGGCGGTCAGGCCGGGCTCCGCCGGGGGCAGGCCTCTGCCCGCTGGCCCCTTCCCTGCCTGGCAGCCAGAGGCCTGGACGCCACCGCCAGCCACAACCCCCAGGGCTCAGGGGACCTCAGACGCCTGTGGCCGTGCCAACCCTGTGGCCCTTCCCCTCCTGGGTCAGGGGCCGCTGGGCCGGGAGCCCCGTGACCCTGGGAGGCTCAGGGAAGGTCTTAAGAAATCCCACTGGGGAGCCGGGATGGCCATGGGCACCCCTGACCCGGCCGCTCCTGGGCAGCCAGCCCAAACCATCACCGTCCAGGCAGGCAGGAAGGGGGGGGGCCCTCAGCGAGGAGGGGGAGGAAGTGGGGATCAGAGGATGGACTGCAGGGCACAGGCCCCCGGGAGATTGTCAGCTGTGACGGAGGCCCAGGACCGCAGGGGCAAAGGGCTGCTGGGCACGGCTGTGTGCTCCAGGGGAGGGGCCTGTGCTCTCCGCCACTCCGTCCTCAGAGTGCTCCCGCCCAACCCCCTCCTGGAGCGGCCAAACTCCCGTCAGCCAACAGCTCCGGCCACAAGGTCTCCCGTCTCCTTTACTGCCCGATGTGGCCGAGCTGGGAATGACCGGCTGGCCTGTCCACCCTCCCCAAGGTCAGGACAGTGCTGGGACCCTCACCTCTCCCCAGGCCTGTTTACCCACGGAACCAGCACGGCCCCGCCGGCTGCTGTCCGCCCCGCGGCCCTGTGGGGTCTCCTGCAGACCCCCGATGTCTCAGGGGCCGCGCGGGCCTCCCTCCCCTGGTCCACTTGGGCACTGCAGCCAGAGAGCGAAGACCTGAGTGCCAGGTCCTCATGCCACAGCCGCGCCCAGCCGGAGCGCCCACGGGCCGGCACAGGCAGAGCCAGGCAACAGCGGGGCTCCCCAAGGCCGAGATGGGGAAACGGAAGGTGCCGAGGCTGCTGCTCGGCTGGGGGCACGGGGCTGGCAGTGCCAGAGGCCACCCTGGCTCTGGGACACTTGCCTCTCTGGCCTGCTAGACCCCCACCAACTATCCAGGCCCGTCTGTCCCCTCTCAGACGGGCGCCCTCACACCGGGGGACTCTCACCCCCGAGGGCCAAGGTGATGGAGACCAGGGTCCTGCCTCCCAGGACCCAGCCCCCAGCCAGCCTGGAGGACAGACTGTGGCCCAGGGCCCGCGGGCCAGGCCCCTCCCTCTCCAGGAGCCCTGGCAGGGCCGGGGTGAGACCCACTGGCTCACTAAGCGCTCAGAGGCCAGAAGCAGAGACCAATCCTAAGGCTCCTGCTCCCAGGATCCCTGTCCCCCTGTCCCCCCACCCCAGGCCCCTCTGCCTGCCACTGCCCTCCCCCAGCCCGGTGCCCGAGCCTGCCTCGGCCCCAGCAGGCCCCAGGAGCACCTTGACCAGACAGGACCTGCGAGGAGAGACCCCTGACCTTGTGAAGAGCAGGGCCGCTAGGCCCCAAGCACCAGCTCAGAGCCGGCCTCAGGAGGCCAGGGACACTCAGAGACCTCGGGGCAGCACCAAAGGCCCAGCTCTGCCCCACCTCCCTGCGCGGCCGGGACTGCAGAGGGGAGAGGCAGGGGCCGGGCAGGGGGCCGGGGCAGGGAGCGGGCTCACCGGGCGGCTTCATGTAGTACTGCTCGATGTCCGCCATGTCCGTGTGCAGCGCGCAGTCCAGGTAGGCGAGGACCACCTTCCGGCTGTAGTAGTAGCGCAGCGCCAGCAGCCCCGCGGGCACCAGGCAGGTCAGCAGCAGCGAGCCGGTGAGCGCCCAGCACAGCCCTGCGGGAGGGAGGGTGAGGATGGAGGGGGCGGTGAGGGCCAGGGGAGGGGAGATGGGGGCGCGGGGAGGGCGGAGGGGAGATGGGCCCGCGCTGCCCCCGCAGGTGGGCAGGAAGCAGCCCCCATGCACCTCGGGGCAAACAGCCCCTGAAGGACAAGCAGGGAGACAGGGCCGGGCGCTTGAACCTGAGGTCGCCGGCGCCTGGGGCAGCGGCCTTGGCCCACCCGCCCTCCGGGGAAGCGGGCACCTGGGACCAGCTCCCGGGCCCCCAGCCCCCGGGCGCCGGGGAGGCCGCGGCCGCGGACAGTGGCTGCCGGAGGGCCGCTTCCGCCGCTTGACCTTGGGGGAGGCGCACCGGCCCGCGCCTCGAGCTCCTCATCCGCAAAGTGGGAGCCGAAGCTCAGCCCCGAGGCCGCGTCCCCGCTGTGTCCCCTCCCGCTCCCGCACCGCACCGCACCCTCCCGCACCGCAGCTCATAAATTAGCACCGGAGCCGCGGCCGCCCCCGCCCGGTTATAAATAGTCACGGCGGGCGCCGGCCTCCGCCCGCGGCTCGGAGGGGCCGGCCGGCGGGACTCCGCTCTCCGCTCTCCCGCCGCAGCCCCCCCCCCGGGTTCCCACGCCCCCGCCCCGGAGCCCCGGTCGGGAGCCGGGAGCCGCGGGAGCCGGGCCAGCCCGCAGCGGGGTCCCCGAGCCCGGCGCCGCAGAGAGCGGGGCGCGCGGGGGGTCCGAGGCTGGGGCCCGGCCACCGGGGGGGCCCGGGGAGCCTGCGTGTCCGGGGCGGGGGGCGCGGGGAGCCCGCGGGTCCGGGGCGGGGGGAGATGGGGGCCCGGGGAGCCTGCGGGTCCGGGGCGGGGGGAGATGCGGGGCCCGGGGAGCCCGCGGGTCCGGGGCGGGGGGGAGATGCGGGGCCCGGGGAGCCCGCGGGTCCGGTGCGGGGGGAGATGCGGGGCCCGGGGAGCCCGCGGGTCCGGGGCGGGGGGAGATGCGGGGCCCGAGGAGCCCGCGGGTCCGGGGCGGGGGGAGGTGCGGGGCCGGGGGGGCCCGCGGGTCCGGGGGGGGGGGAGATGGGGGGCCCGGGGAGCCCGCGGGTCCGGGGCGGGGGGAGATGCGGGGCCCGGGGAGCCTGCGGGTCCGGAGGGGGCCCGCACTGACCGGCCAGCAGGGCGCAGAGCAGCAGCGCGCGCGGGTGCTGCCGCAGGCCGCGGAAGGCCGTGTTGGGGATGCGCTCCATGATGCCGTCGTAGAAGATGCGGCACGCCGCCTCCTGCTCGGCCGCGCGGAACTCGCGGATGTGCACGCCGCGCCCCTCCGGCGGCCCCGCGCCCCCCGCGCCCCCCGCGCCGCCCCGGGGCTGCGGCTGCGGCTGCGGCTGCGGCGCGGGCGGCGGCGCGGCGGGCAGCGGGGGCCACATGGCGGCGGCGAGCAGCGCGTCCTTCTTGGCCCCCGGCAGCGCCTCATGGTCCTCGGCGGCCACGATCTTCGTCTCGCAGACCATGTCGGGCTCACAATGCATGCACCCGGCGGGCGGCGCGGGGCGCGGCGGGCGGGCGGCGGGCGGCCCAGGGCAAGGGCGCGGCGCCCTCGGACCCGCGGCGGCGGCGGCGGTCAGGGGCGCGGGGCGGAGGCGGCGGGCGGCCGGGGCGCGCGCGGGGAGCTGCGCCGCATCTTGGAGGAGGATTTATAACGCGGCGGCGCCGGTGCGGCCGGCGCGGGGTCCCGCAGGGTCCTAGCGTCCACGGCATTGGCTGCGGGGTCACCATGTGACGCGGGGGCGGGGGCCGGCGCCGCCTCCGCCCGCCGGTGGCACCTCGGCCGCCGCGCCTCGGCCGCGCTCCGGCGGCAGCGGAGGGGGTGCGCCGGGCGGGGCGGCGGGGACCTGCGAGCGGCCGGGTTCGGGCCGGAGGGGGGCTCCGGGGCCCCGGGCAGGCGCCGCCCGCCGCCGCGCCGTGCGGGAAGCCGCGGACCTGGCCCGGCCTGGGCCCCGCACGCCGCGGCCGCCGCCGCCGCCCGCCGGGCGCAGTCACGGAGGCACCGTCCCCGGTCCCATTGTCTGGGCGCGCTTCGCGGGCCCTGCAGCGGCGCCCCGGCCCTCCGCCCCGCGCCCCGGGGACGCGCGCCCGGAGCCGCCGGCTGGAGGCGAGGGGATGCGCCCGGAGCGGGTCCGAGGTCCGCGCCGCGCAGCCCGCGTTCAGACACCGGGCGCCGGAGCGGGAGGAGGGGGTGCGGGCCCGGGGACCCCCAGCCCGGCCCCTGCCTGCCTGGCCCGCGCATGCGCCCTGCCATCGCGGTGCAGGTGCAGGGGCCAGAGGGAGGATCCGCCGGCGCTGGGAGTCGGGGAGGGAGGAGATGGGGACTCGGTGGTCCCAGAACCCGTGGCACTTCGTGCACCCAGCCCCGCTGCCCCGCTGCCCGCACCCTCTCCCGGAGGTGACCTCACAGCGGCGCGCAGCCCGGTTCCCGGCGCCGCGTGGGTGGCCGGTGGCGGTCAGGCCGAGGACCCTCGGCCCAGAGCCCGGCCGGGCGCCCGCGGCCCCCCCCAGGCCAGGGCGGGGCTGTCCTTGCCTGCGCCGCGCTGAGGGACGCGGGGAGGGGCGGCCGGCTCCAAGGAGCTGAACTAGTCCTCGGCCAGGGCTGCGGGGTGGGGTGGGGCACCCCGAGGTCACCCTACACCATGCTCCCCAGGTGCCACGGAGAATCTCAGGGCAGCTCAGGGCCCTGCTGCTGGCGTGTAGGGCGGTGGGACAGGCCCACAGCGAGACCAGCCCCCAGGACCTGAGGTTGGCCAGAAGTGTCCCCCACCCCCAAGCCAACAGCACCCAAGAGATCCAGGCAGGACACCCCGGGGCCGGGAGCAGCGCTAGGGTGCCCAGAGGGTCAGGGGGGTCAGAGGAAGGAGACGGGGCCGCCCCACCTCAGGGGCTTGGGGAGCATTGTGCCAGGTGATGAGGCAGGAGAGAGGACAGGGGCCTGGGTTCCCTAGCTGTGACCTGTGACCCCGGCGTCCTGCAGTTCTGCACCTGCAGACGCCCTCCCGGGGGGCTGACCTCACCTGCAGCCCCTGGCCCAGCCCCTGTCACTCTGAGAGCCAGGGTGAGATGGGGGGACGGCTGGCCAGCCCCCTGGAAGGGCTTGGCAGCCTCAGGCTGGATTTTAACGCACTTGGCGTGGGGTTGGCATGAAGGAGAGGGCTGTGCAGACAGCAGGGGGCAAGCCAGGCCACACCACAACTGCAGACATGGGGTTCCCCATCCGTCCCAGGGAGGCTGTGCCCCCCGCCCACATCAGGAGCCCGCTGTCAGGGCCCATCTGTTCTCTCCCGGAACCCACGTCCGTTCTTCCGTTTGTGCTGCCTCGGCCTCCCGCCTGAGGCCTCAGGCAGACACGATTCCGCCTGGAGCCCCTCGTCTGCCCCAGGTTCTCAGGACCGTGTGTGCGCAGCAGCGACACCCGCCCAGAGGCCGGCCTGGGCCTCGGGCACCTGCCACCTGCCGGGTGCAGCTCCGGGGACACAGCTGGGGGCCTGGGAGAGGGGACTGTGTGGGGAACAGGCCGGGAGGAACCGCCTCCACAGAGAAAGGGGAGCAGGAGCAACAGCGAGACCCCGGCGGGGCCTTCCCCAGCCAGGGGCCTGGCTCCTGCCCAGCCAGGCGGCTCGGGCTCCAGAGGAAGCGCATTGGAGGCCAAGGCCAGCCAGGAGCAGAGCCCCGAGGGGGGCCTCGCCCCCGGGTGACCTCTCCCCTTGCAGATCCTGCACCCGCTGACCTTAACGCCCTGAGACCCCCTCTGAGCCTCAAGTGTAGCTCAGCTCCAGGCCTCGCAGCCAGCTGCCTCAGGACCAGCCGCATGAATAATGCCCCGCCCGTGCCGCCAGCCAATCGGAGGCCAAGCCTGGAAGGCCACGGAACCTTCTCTTCAGACCCCCACCCGAGGCCCTAGTGGGTTTGGCCCAGTGGATAGGCCTGCGGACTGAAGGGTCCCGGGTTCGATTCTGGTCACATGCCCGGATTTGGGGCTTGATCCCCAGTGGGGGGCATGCAGGAGGCAGACGATCAATGATTCTCATCATTGATGTTTCTATTTCTCCCTGAGATCAATAAAAGTGTATTTTTAGCCTAAACCGGTTTGGCTCAGTGGATAGAGCGTCGGTCTGCGGACTGAAGTGTCCCAGGTTTGATTTCGATCAAGGGCATGTACCTGGGTTGCGGGCACATCCCCAGTGGGGAGTGTGCAGGAAGCAGCTGATGGATGATTCTCTCTCATCGATGTTTCTAACTCTATCCCTCTCCCTTCCTCTTTGTAAAACATCAATGAAGTTTATATATTTTTTAAAAAGTATTTTAAAGATAAAAATTAATGAAAAAGAAAATACCCTCAGGTGAGGCTTAACAAAACAAAAAATTTTTTTTAAAAAGGCCTTCCCCGGAGCATCCCCTAAATCTCTACCCCTAAACCCTTAGGACCGGGGCCCAGGGCTCTCCTCTCCCCCTCCCTGCCCCGGGCGCTGCCAACCTCTTCCTCACTCTCAAGCTCCGAGGGCCCTTCCTTTGCCCCCATAATTAGTTCCCATTTCTTCTAGAAATTTCTTTTTCTCACTCTGTGATTTACCAGATAAACGTTCTCTTACAGTTTAGCTCTTGTTCTGGATTCTTTCCCACCAGAACCCTGTGCCGAGGCTGCTGGCCCCAGGTCTGGTCTGACCCCGGGGGTCAGAGGCCCGGTGCCGTCCCCATCGCCTCCGCCAGCTGGACCGAGTGCCCACGGTGGAGTGCCCGCAGCAGAGTGCCCTCCGCCGCCCTCAGGGGCCGACAGCGAAGGGGGAGGCGGACGAGGGTCTGAAGCCACCTGAACACGTGCTGGGAAGACAGTGGGACCCCGGGCACCATGGTTCGCACACAGAGGCGGCAGGAGGGCGGGCAGTGTGCTGGGGTGCCCAGCTGGCAGGAGACCCCAGCTCCGGGCAGACCGGGCGCGGGCCTTGGCCACAGCCGGGCCCAGCTCCGTGCTGACTGCACTTCTGCTCCTACAACACCCCCCTCACCGGCCTCCCCACCCCCCCACTTCCTTGAGGGCTGGAAGGGCAGGCCTGGCCCGCCTCCTGGCTGCCCGCTCCTCCGGGGTCCCTTCTCTGTCCACTCAGGGCTCCCGGCCAGCACTGTCCACTCCTCTCTCCAGCCCTTCCTTCCCAGTTCAGCCAGCAGACCCATCCCCAACTTCCCTCCTTCTCTCAAACCCACCCCCTCCCCTCCTCTCAAACCAACCACGTGGCCAATCCCAACGGCTCCTTCTTAAAAATGTATTTTTTATTGACTTTAGAGAGGAGATAGAAACATCTGCGATGAGAATCATGGACCGGCTCCGCCAGTGTCCCACACTGGGCCTGTGCCCTGACCGGGAATCGAACCGTGACCCCCGTTCCTGAGTCGACGCTCAGCCCATGCGCCGTGCCGACTCCCCCGAGTGAGCACAACTGCTCCTCCTGCTGCCACCAGCCTGGGCTCTTCACGGCATCCCCCTCACGCGGTTCCACCCGCCACCCGCTCCCTGCACCGTTCCGGCGCCCCTGCTTGCTCCGACCCCCATGGCTCCCGAGGGGCCCTCCCCACTCCCAACCCCCCCCCCTGCCCTGCAGTGCAGCCGTGAGGTCACTGCTCTTCCCTGTGTCCCTGCCCCTGCCGCCTCCCAAGGGACACACCGCCAGGCTCCGGATGCACCCCCGTGACACCACCTGCTGCCCCATCCCCTATCAAGAGCAGCCACACAGGGTGCCCAGCTAAGTCCCATCAGGGAGGAACAGCCCTCCCCTCCAGCCCCAGGGGTGACCAGCAGATTTCTGGGTCCTGGGTGCCTCTGCCCCATCAGCCGCCACTCCTGACCACAGGCCATGTCCTCGCCCGAAACGGCATGAGGCCAATGGGTGCCTCACTGCTCTCTGCGGCCCAGGACGTGCGCCCAGGCCCTACGGCCACACCTCCTGCCAGGCTGGGCCACGGGGACTCGGTTTCTTCGCTCCAGTGCCAACACCCTGGCACTTCCAGAGCCTCTGCAACAGGACGGGCTCCTGAGGGAGCCACGGGGTGAGGGGCCACGGGAGGTGGGGAGGCATGGGGGTGGGAAGGGAGGGCAGGGCAGGTCCTTGGGGCAACTTCTGGAGGTAGCCAGGCGGGGCCTGTGGGTAAGACGGGAGTCCCTCCCCAGGCAGCCGGCCAGGACGTCAGACAGCGACAGCAGCACGCAGGCCCGGCCCTGCTGAGGCCCCACAAGCAGAAACCCGAACCCCAGCTCGGCAGGGTGCCACCGTGGGCCCATCAGCGCCCCACCGAGCGCCTGGGCGTCGTAAAGCATCGCTTCCCTGTGAAGCTTTAGCGTGAAGAGGGCGGGTCCCTGGAGACCCCTGCCTGGCACCGAGCGCACGTGTGGGCCGGCTGTGGGGCGTGGTGCCCGCCTCAGGCTGTGCCCGGGGGCTGAACTGGGGCTGTTGAAGGGACCTGCAGGTGGGGAGGCTGTGGCAGGTCCCGGGCTCCGTGGCCACTGGCTGGGCCTCAGGAACCACGGCAGAGGGCTCCGCTGGGCCCCTGC